GTATTTTATTCAGTGGAGTCAAGGATAAAATGGGGCATAACATTTTCTTTCTTTACCTGGAATCTCAGAGATGGTGCTGTTCTCAGTTTCACTTCTAATTAATGGCAGGTTTAAAATGTTGAACCACAGCATAAATGAGAAATTGGTTAATCAACCATTCTTTTGGGGGGGTTTCTTTTTGAAGGTGGAGGTTTGGCAGAGAGAAATGGTGCCCCAAAAATGTACTGTGGCTCAGTTGGTGGAGCGTCGTCTCCATAAACTGAGAGGTCACCAGTTCAATTCCTGGTCAGGGCACATGCCTAGCTTGTCGGTTTGAGTAACCCCACACCCCCTGCGCCCCTTTCGGGGCACTGTGAGAGGCAGCCAATCAGTGTTTCTCTCCCCCATCGATGTTTCTCCCCCCATCAATTTTTCTGTCCCTCTCTCTTTCCCTCCCTTCCCCCCATCTCTGAAAACAATAAGCATGTCCTTGGGTGAGGATAAAAAACAAAAACAAAAACAAATGTGTACTGGAAGGTACTAGATTGTGGATGGTGAGACGGTGCTGAAAAAATGATTGCACCCTGAAGTAGTAATTCCATTGCCAGCACTTTATCTGCTTTCCCCCACTTTTCCCACCAAAACACATGAAGAGGAGCTTCCTCTTCCTCCTTTCCCTCCCCTTCAGTGGTCTTGAGCAGGAACAAGCACACAAACAACAGTGAGGTGTTCTTAACTCCACAGACCTACCCTAGGACAGAGACAGTTCCTTCTTCATCAGATGCCACCCAGAAAAGAGTGTTACATCACAACTCGAATAAAACCTCTCTCAGTCTTCTGAAGCGGGGAGAGGCACAAATGAAAGTACTTTCAAGTTTTCCCGGTAGGGACAAGGGTTTTTGTCCCTTAATTAGAGGTAGTCTGGGAAATGCTAGCACTCGTGAATGTCCCAGGAGAGTTGGAACACCTCCGTTCTGTCCTCACTGTGATAATAGTAGTCCCCTGCTCAGGCGGCAGCTGGAAGTAGGAAAGCTGGGTGAAAGCTCACGGAGAGGCCCTGCCAAGGAGATCTTTTTTTCCTTTCTCTGATGTCTGCAGCTCACTTGGCCTGAGCTCCAGGTTACTACTTGATTCTGTTCAGAAGTCAGCACTTAAATTCTGAGGCCGTTTCAGAAGTTAGTACTAGTGTTTATTTCTGGATCTAATTGTGCTTCTAGAAATAACAGCTGTAAAATTATATTAGAATTTATGTTTAAGAAAAGTCAGATGGCTATCAAAATATGTGGGTGGTTTGAACTTTTTGAATAAAAGGCCTGTGCTCAGCTGCCAGGCCTCCGGAGGAGTGCTTTGTAATACTGTGCATCCTTGCTTTCTGGGATGGGTTGTGGAAGGAAATTGCTTATTTCCTGTTTCACCACAACCGTCATGACCAGGCCACTTTCCCTGTTGTCCTTGTCCTAGCAGAACCTGATTCTTGACTTGAGTGAAACTGGGCAAGGGGCTTGAAGGCATTTTTAGTATAGGTAGATCCCTGGCCTTTTAAAGAAAGGGCCACAAATTAGCTGTACTGTTAGCAGCCCAGATGATGCCATTGAGAGCTCAAGAGTGTTCTAAGTTTGCCCTGACTGGTGTTGGCTCAGTGGACTGGGCGTCGTTCTGCGGACCAGAGAGTTGCAGGCTTGATTCCTGATCAGGGCATGTGCCTGGGTTGTGTGCCAGTTTCCTGGTTGGGGACATGTGACAGGCTACTGATAGATGTTTTCTCCCGTTCTTTCTCTCTCCCTTACCCTCTCTCTAAAAATATGTAAATAAAATCTTTAAAAAACAACAACAACAATGAAGAAAGAGTGTTCTGAACTTACTGAGTAGTTTTTTGTTGTAGATATATTAATCATGGCAGATTCAAAGCTCTGGTATCTTTTTAGTCATTCACTCTTTCCTGCCCAAACTAAAAATTGACTTTCTGAAATCTTTACTATATCAACCTTTTATTTTTCTTCTTCATTCACTGCTAGTAAATCTTTTAATGTCTGTTTGCCACTTTTTAGCTGGCTTAATTTTTTTCTGTTCTGTTGAAGTCCAGAGTTGTGGCTTGAGGGGCAGTAAGTTATGGTCAGTTCTTTGGATCCACACCCCTATTTATCTCTTCTTGGTGGCAGACATCAAAATTTAATAGGTATATTAGAGATTATGGTGATCATTTGTAGACTGGTCACTTCCAAAAAAGTACAGGGAGAGGGTGTTATCTGCAGACAGCTGAGTAAATGTGTTTTTGTACTTCCATCATCACAGCATCTCAGTTATCCAGATGAAGTATGAGGCCTAGAGTGGAAGTGTGCTCAGGTCCTTCGAGGGGCTGCAAGGAGATCACTGTGGCTAGAAGTAGAGTCAGCAAGAGGGGCAGGGTGGTTAGAAGATGAGGCCAGAGAGGTAATTGTAACAGAATATGTGAGGTCTTGTGGGCCACACTACGAGTTTGTATTTTATCTCTCTCTCTCTCTCTCTCTCTCTCTCTCTCTCTCTCTCTCTCTCTCTCTCTCACACACACACACACACACACACACACACACGAGAGAGAGAGAGACAGACAGACATTGATTTGTCATTCCACTTATGCAGTCATTGGTTCATTCTTGTACATGTCCTGACCAGGGATCAAACCTGCAACCTTGGTGTATTGGGACGATGCTCTAACCAGCTGAGCTACATGGCCAGGGCTGACTTTTATTCTATAATAAATTCTGTATTCTGGCCCTGGCTGACATAGCTCAGTGGATTGAGCGCAGGCTGCGAACCAAAGTGTCGCAGGTTCGATTCCCAGTCAGGACACATACCTGGGTTGCAGGCCATAACCCCCAGCGGCCGCACATTGATGTTTCTCTCTCTCTCTTTCTCCCTCCCTTCCCTCTCTAAAAAAATAAATAAATAAAATCTTTAAAAAAATCTGTATTCTGTAATATGGGAAGTCATTGGAAATTTTTGACCTGATATGGTAAGATTTCCAATTAAAAAAATAAATTACTCTGGCTGTTGTGTGGAGAATAGATTGGGTTGTTTGGGTTGTGCATCAGTTCCCTGGTTGGGCACATGTTCCCCCTTCCCACCATAGTGGGAAGAAAGATCATTTAGAAGGTTATTGTAGTAGTCCAGGCTAGGGATGAGACAATAAATGAAATTATTACCTATTTCCAAGAAAGGTTTGAGAGACCTAATTAAGAAAACATCAGTAGCCCTGGCTGGTGTGGCTCAGTGGATTGAGCACCCACCTGCAAACCAAAGGGTTGCCAGTTCTATTCCCAGTCAGGGCACATGCCTGGGTTGAGGGCTAGGTACTCAGTTGTGGGCATGTGAGAGGTACCCACACATTAATGTTTCTCTCCCTGTCTTTCTCCCTCCTTCCCCCTCTAAAAAATAAATAAATAAAATCTTAAGAAAAAAAGAAAAGATAACTAAAGCCCCTCATACAGCCCATTTCACAATGTTAGGCTCCAGTATTTGTTAATGCCCTTCCTTTCCTTGGAGTTTGCCCTCAGCTATATTAGGACCATAGGGGAGAGGTTATTAAATAGAGATCAGTATTCACAGGGATGGGATTCTAACTAGTACCTCAGTCATTTGACCCCAACAGAAGACTTTTATTCTTGAGGTACTACAGTTGGCACACTGTGTTCATTCTGTTGTCCCACCCACCAGAGACCTGAAAAGACTGATTCTGTGCCAGAACTCTTGGGCGGCTCTATTCTCATTGAAGCATTCAATCTTCAGTTCTTTCTGTAGTTGCTATCAGTTTGAACAGCCTCTTGTACAAAGTATCTTTTCAGCTACCTGGACTTGCAAGCTGGAGCTCTCTGATACTCATCATGACAAGGTAGTTTCACATACCTGAGGGCCCTCTAAGAAAAAGAGGTTTTGTGATCTTTAACATTTGAACATTCCCCCCAGTCTTTTTGGTGATCTAAAGCCTTAATATGCTACTTTGATTTCTGGGTTTTGCAGTTTGAGAAAAAGTTTCGTGTGTTTTAGTGCATTATATTTCTTTGGGAAAAGCTTGGTGTTCGGTATACAGAAAGCTTGCTTGGCATTGTTGACACGGTTTCCTGTCCCACAAAAGGCCACCTCAGTCAATATATCTTGTTGGTACACAGCACTGATGCAACCATGCTATCTCGACATAATGTTAGGATCACTTGCCCAGAGAGGGCTTGTGGCAGCCTACTACTTCCTTGATTTCCTTTGGGTGCAATGCACTTTTGGGGTGGGTGTGGGATCCAGGAGGTCTAATTGTGTGACAGGTAATAGGAAGGGTGACTCCCCAGAAACTTACAGAATTTGCTTTAACAGTAGTTAATTTTGTCTCCTAAGATGCTTTGCTCCTTCCTTTTACAAGTGAGTTGAGATTACTGGAGTGTCACAAGTGAAACTTTCGGTGCTTTTGCAACTCACATACTATACTGCCTCTGGAAATACCTGACTTCCAGGCCCCCGGCCAGCCTGTAAATAGAGTAAGCCAGACACTATGAGGGCCAGCTCTGTTCAGGAACACTGGTCTGTTTTCAGGGAGAAATCATTTTTCCCTTCACCTCAGTTGGAATGTGTCTTACTAGCTTTTCTGCTCCTTCGTTGGCTGAGCACAGAGGAGAGTCAGCGTGCCACTCATCTGGCAGCCCCGTGGCCATGCGCCTTTCCTAAAGCCCACGACAGGAGAGGTAAAGAGCTTGTGAGCATAAAAGGTCTTACAGGTGTACCTGTATTTTCATTTAGTGGCATGGATAGGTATTTTTCAGTTTTTTCCCCACCCACTCACCTGTGCCGACTGAAATATCATTTTACACTTAGTAATATAATAGTTGGGAGCAAATTGTTACTGCAGATAAAAACACAAATATATTTTCAGCCAACATGCTGTTAATTAAATTGCTTATCTATCTAAACTTGGGCCTGTGCTGCCCATATCAGATGTCCCCGATTTCTTCCTTGAGTGAGTTGCCTTGTGTTCCATGACCTTGTTTTTCTCATTACAGTGTGAGTGACTGCCTCACGTTGTGTTGATGCTGGTCTGCCATGCTAGCCTGTCTACCAGGGCCAGGTGACCTGTCCTTTCAGCTTCTTTCTCACACGCAGATGAACACTGGACTTCAGAAATGTAAGTAATCGGGGTTCCAGGGAAGGGCATGTTCCCTTGTTTTGTCCCTACATTTGGGCTGTTCCAGAGCAGTACATTGACCGTGGACTTTGGTACCTTCAAGATATTCTTTAGTACAGACAAAAGAAAGCAGTTGCAAAAACTTGTCAGCAGCATATAAGACTCTTCTCTGATCAGTGAGATCCTCTAAAAAGTACTAGAATTTTCCAGTGCATAGCTTCTTAATTTTAATTGTTGCTGATAGCTGTTTGTTGAGCAACAAAGCTGTAAGGAGTTTTATAGGAGATACATATAGATACATCTGTCTGTCTATATCTGTCTATCCATCCATCTATCACCCTTCAAAAAAGTGTCTCCATTTGAACCCCCATGAGGAATTAAATGAAAACGTACAGTCTAGATTACTTACTGTGTATCTCTGAAACAAGCCTTGTACACTGTTCAGTTGTTTTGAACTCTCTAAGCGCTCTCTATCATGGAAACAGACAATTCTCTTTGGCTTTGCTGTCTGCCTTCTGAGCCAGTGACCTCAGTTCACAGCAAGTAAAGAAGCTCTCACCTTCAGAGGGATAAGGAGCTAGCTTTCTCATTCTTTCTAGGCGTATTCCTGCTAATGTACTTCCACAAGATGGAGCTTTTGAGAACTGTCTGTTGGATTCCCATCTTAAACTGGCTGGAACTGGGGCTTTATGCTTCGTACTTTCCCGGATTCCTGCTTCTACCTTTGCACTGCACAATGTGCAAGGAAAAGATTCTATTCCTGGCTCATTACCATGTACAGTATCTTCAAGTGTTAAAGTGGCCTTAAATTTGAAATAGACTTTCCTTTCAGGGCAAAAAGGGGAAATCAATGAAGCATCTAGGCTTACCCTTTAACAGAAAAGGTGCTTTGGCATCTTACTTGAATCCTTCATAAGAGGGTTTGGCAGGGTTTTAGGCTTTGTGGGCCGTGGTTTCTGTTGCATCTATTCATATCCGCTGCTGTAGGGCAAAGGCAGCCATAGATAATTTGTAAACTGTGTGTGACTATTTTCAATTAAGCTGTTTAGAGAAACAGCAGCTGGATTTGGGCCCATAGGCTGTAGTTTACCAGCCCCTGTTCTGGTAGATCATCTTCAGAAATTAAAAATTATCTAGCCTCTTACTTCCTGTCTTTGAGGAAGAGTAAGACTCAGAGCCTGGCTAGTTCTGGGATTTGGCCAATGAATCCAGCTTGCATAATGACAAAGCTGAAGGTGACAGTCTTCCTTCTGCAGCTTTCTGACTCAATGGGCAAACCCTGCTGTAGCAGCTTTCCCCATCGGCCTTTCTCTTAATGAGTGATGACTAGGTGACTAAGTTGTATGTGCTCCCTGGCCACCCAAATCTACTTGCCAACTACACTGTGACTGTTTCTGGGCTTCCAAGGACACACTGGAAGGGCAGTATATTTGGAAGTATCCACTAAGATGGCAAAGAGCAACTCCCTGTCTTCTAGATTCCTTAACACTGACCGCTTCACCCAGAGATGTGATGTCAAGGGATGAGCCATTTGGGAGGAAAAGGCATATTTAAGGCATCCAAATAGGCAGCTTTATCTTGGGTGCTGACATTGGATCTCCACTTCCTTTTCCCCGAAAGCAGCTCTTAAGTAGCCTCTGCCATCCACTGGCCCCAGTCTGTATTTAAGAATTGAGATGTCCTTCCTTGTTGGTTTCAGACCCACCTGTCCATTTGGGGGATGGTGTCTTTGAATCTCTTTGACTCCCGGGTTGCTATCCTTAACTAAATTCACACTTTTGCAGAGGAGAAATCCTGTTGGTCTTTTTAAGCTTCCTCACTTACTTCTCTCCTCTCCCAAAATGTATAAGAAAAAAGAAAACTCTTACTGAGTGACTTACAGCTGTTAGTGTTAAACATTCACAGTTAAGGTGAGATGGAGCATAAGCTCTATCTCCTTTGGGAACCAGCAACTAAAGAACTGCTTAGAACCCAAGGCTGCCAGTTATAAAAACCTTAAAATCAGTTTTGTGACTCTCCAATTCAGCCTTTCCCTACTTCCACACCCATTCTCAGAAGGGTCTTCTAAGTCCCTTAGAAACACAGCTTGGTATCTGGTAGGGTGGGGATGGGATACAGAGTTTATAGATTACTGTGCTTTATGTTATAAGAGTCAGCCAAGGCAGGAGAAATGGGTCAGGGTCAGGAGGTGGGATATGTGACTTCTTGGTCCAGCACTGCAATTCATCTGTCTAATCACCCACCCCCAGGCTTGAGCTGCCATATGAGCAGACTCACAGGATCGATCCCTTCTAACTTCACATCTTCTCTTCTCCCCTTCCTTTCCTCTGTATACAGGAGGATGGGCTTCAGTGCCCATCTTAGAAGTGTAATTTGCAGTGGGGCAGGCTGGATTAAAGAACATCTGGGTTTGGGCTGGGTCTTGTACTTGACCACATTTAGGGGTAAGAGGATGCCCGCCTAGAGCTTTTCTACATTGTATATTCCATGACGTCACTTGCTCTGACAGTCCTAGCCATTTTGGAACTCTGCTCTTGAAAATTTGTTTTCCTCTGACCCATCTTCTCCTAATTCCTCCAGGAAACGTGTTTTTGACATTTTCTCCTTATTAACCCCAGGCCTCTGCTCCTGTTTCCTGAGTTCACAGTGTGGTCTGTAGTGGTGGCTCAATAAGTATTCCTGAGTGAGTGGCTGAAATGACCAAAAGACCTTGGTTCTCAAATCATCTTTTAGATAACAACTTTGACCTCTCTTATTGTAGCCTTTTGGGGCCTGGGACAAATGTCAAAAATCTTTTGCTGCTTCTTGGTATGTCTGTCTGCCCCCTTGTGGAAGGGTCTGGAAATGGTGAATTGGTCCAGTGGTTGAAGAAACTCAGAAATATTAGACTACATCTGTTGAGTGCTCACCATGTGCCAGGCACTATCTTAAATATTTTTATGTATGTTTTCATTCATTCCTCAATAATTCCATATGGGAGACTCTCTTATCGTTCTTTTAAGAATAAGAGTGTCTGCCGCTTGCCAGCATTACATGACAGTTCAGTGACTGGCTTAGAACTCATACTCAGGGCAGACTCCAAAGCTTCATTACAAATTGCATGTGCCTCTCCACCTATAGATAGAGGTTCCTGCTGCATATGCCACCCATGCTGTCTGACCTTCAAAACAGGATACACAGCGGGGTCCCGGTGGGGAAGCCTGGATTCAGGCAGATTTCACCCTTAGTCCTGGAGCAGACAGCAGTGCTCTCTGTTTTACACTGTGCTCCCAGACCCAAGTCCAGGGCATCCTGCAGTTCGCGCTTCCTTTGCCAGCTTGCTTTGTCCTGTCTGTGAGCAGACTCAGGCAGAACTGCTATCCTTAAATAATATCGACAGGCACTGTTCCTGTCCACGGAGCGTTTTCCCATTCACTGAATCTTAGTAATTCTGCAAAGGAGGACGGCAGGTGTCATTCCTTTTTATACATGAGGAATGACTGAGACTGGGTAGTTCCATAGTAAAGCCAGTACTTGAATCTGGATCCCTTTTTTTATCTAACCACATATTCCTTCTTCTATATACTGCCTTATGTCTTTTTTTTAAAGATTTTATTTTATTTATTTTTAGACTGAGGGGAAGGAAGGAGGGAGGGAGAAAGAGAGGGAGAGAAACATCAATGTGTGGTTGCCTCTCATGTGTGAGCCCCCAGCTGGGGACCTGGCCTGCAACCCAGGCGTGTGTCCTTACTGGGAATTGAACCGGCGACTTTTGGTTCGTCCTTACTGGGAATTGAACCAGCGACTTTTGGTTTGCAGGACAGCACTCAGTGCCTTATGTCTTAATTAATGACACCCTTGATATTCGATGTTTAGTCAAGTGTTTTTTTGTTTTGTTTTTTTCATCTTGAAGAGACAGAAAGAGAAGTATCAGTTTGTTGTTCTACTTACTTATCCATTCATTGGTTGCTTCTTGCATGTGCCATGACTGCAGACGGCACTCTAACCAGCTGAGCTACTTGGCCAGGCCTGCTATTCAGTATTTAAATAAGTTGCTTACAAAGCCGTGGTACCTGCGTTACCTGTGCACTTAAGGGAAGATGTTACAGAAGAAAGACAGACTCCAAGGTACCTGTGTGTGGGGAACGAGATAAAAGAGTGTTGAGCCCTCTTTGGACTCCTGGTTGGGGCACATGCCTGGGCGGGCCAGATCTCCAGTTTGCGGGCACATGCGAGAGGCAACCAGCCCATGTTTCTCTCACACATTGATGTTTCTCTCTCTCTCAAAAACAAAACAAAACAAAACAAAAACCTGTTGAGGAACACTTGACTTTTTATACGGATTGGACTTAAGTCGGGCATATGAGGTTGGTGGTGCTAAATTCTCAGAATGTGTCCTCTTGTCCGACATACTCATCCCATCTGAGAGATTCTTCCTTAACAAAAATACTATAACCTGTGCCCACCCTCCCCTCCTGCCATTCCTTCCCTTTGATTCTGATTCCTTCATTTGACTACCCTCATCATCACTGTCAACATCAGTGGAGGCAGGACAAGAACTACTCGGTGTGAATGTCCTGTTTCATACCCCTGAGTGAGGCCAGCTCCCTCCTGCCTCTGCGAGACACAGACTGGCAGTGGGTACTCGCTTGGAGCAGAGAAACCCTATTCTTCAACAAGTCACTGCATCCTTCTTTCTGACTTAGTTTTCAAGGAGAAAAACCCAGTAACATGGAAGAAAGTCCAGGGGCAGAACTTTACTTCCTGTCTGAACTAAAACTCAGCAACCTCGGGCTCCCATTCCTCATCCCCACTTATTCAGCCAAGCAGCACCCATGCTGATGGCACTTCCCAAGTGTGTACTACAGGCCTGCTCTGGGTAAGGCGCTGAGCTAGAAGTGTCATGTGATTCTGACCAGTCAGACAGACACCTAAGTACAGTGGCTGACCAGGGCAGCTTCTAATGGAATTCTAGCACCTTGAGCTTAGGGACCATCTCTTGGCAATTCTAGACGTTTTTTGTATCTTCTTGTCCAGGAGAGTGTAAGAAGGGTCAGAGAATGGTTCCACTTTATGAAGACTGAAGCCCGTTAAGTGGCTTATAAAAAACAGCCCAGACACTACTCTCAGGGCTTTGACCCTGCTCACCAGCTGCTGCTCCGAAGTGGGTGGGGAAGATTTCCAGACCTGTCTGCCTCCCTCTTCTTCCTGCCCTCAGTTGTCACCATCACATTCATTGTTTTAAGATTTCCTTTGGTCCTAGTTGGGTAGCTGGGTTGGTTGGAGCATTGTCCCGATACGCCAAGGTTGTGGGTTTGATCACTGTCCAGGACACATACAAGAATCAACCAATGAGTGTCTGAATGGGTGGAACAACATATTGATGTTTCTCTCCCTCCCTTCCTCTCTCTCAAAATCAGTAAATAAAAAGACCTTCAAGTCTGTCATCTTTCAGCCATTTCATTTATGAGTAGAATTCTGTATCCAGTAAATAGAGTCTTGAATAATGTCTGCCTGTCTCCTAAGTTCAAGGCATTGTTCTGGTACTGGAAAGCACAAACCTTTTCCTTTCTTTACCCTGTTCATGAACTTCTACCTTGTTTACTGTGGACCCAAATCTTTCTGCTCGTCCTAGACCTGAGCTTTCTTTTCCTGCTTCTAGTAGCAGCCATTTCTAAGCAGTCGCTGCCAGTTAACCAGCAGTGTCACCAAAGCATGGCATCTGCGCCCTCTGCCTTCTAGCACACTCACTAGCCTACTTCTCTTCCAGTCGATACCCAGTGACATGACTCTGAAGTGGGGTCTCCTTGAGCCAAGCCAGCTGAAGCCACAAGCTGAGCATTCAGTCAGCTTAGCCCCTGGTCTGTATGGCTGCTTCTGCAAGGGGCGGAAGTAGGGAGGGAGTCAGTCAGCGGAGCCTAGGCTCCCAGCCAAGCCCCTTTCCTTTTGCTTTGGGCAGTTTGTGCACTCACTCACTCACTCACTCAGCAAGCCTTTAGTAAGCACCTTCTGTGTGTACTCAGGGGAGACCCTCCCTCAGAGAGAGGGACAACGGAGCAGAGGCCCCTCGCAGGAGCCTGATCTCCTGAAAGAGCTCTGTTCTCAGAACCTTTTCCTTTTTCACTGGAAGCACAGCATCCGCGGAGCCCCCAATGGGAGGCTGCGGGAGATGGGAACAAAGAGACTGTTAACATTAATGAAACGCATTGAGTGGGTATTTCCGCAGTCTCCAAAGGAAGGCAGGTTTTTCCTCTTTCATTTTGGAAAGTGACAGCTGACAAGGGCCAATACAGACTATTTTTGGCTCTCAGGACTTAAAGATTCTCTGAATCCTTTCTTCTCAAATTCCTTCCCTGCTGCCCTGTCATTATTGTCACCCCCCACAAGGAAATAAATAAAGCTTTTTGATCTTCACCCAGTCAGGCTGAGAGTAAGCTGTAAACAAAAGTGAACTTGTGACGTGGGGGTGGGGGACGATGTTGGCAGCTTACTCCTCTGCTCCTGAAAAAGAAGCATCCTGTCTGCTGGGCCAGTTTGCCCACCCTGTGAGCCTGACGCCCCAGCTGCCAGTGCTGAACAGAAAGCTAATGCCTCACTGCCACTGCAGACTGGAGAGTAGTCACTCTGGGTGCCCCCTCTACCAGGATGTCCTAGGGAAGGGACTGAGGGCCCTGACAATCAGCTCTGCTTAGAGCTGTCAGCCCCCAGGCCAGCGTGGCCTGGTAAGAACTTGGAGAGAGCTCCCTGTAGGAGAATAACAACTCCTGGTTACCTCTGTAAGAACAGCCATGGTCTGGCTCTGCCAGGTACTGGACTTGTGGAAGCTGTTCTGCTATTCCTGTCTTCAGTGAGATCATGTGTAAAATAAGAAAGAGTCTTGATAGTACCTGCTTCCTAAAGCAGTAGCAAGTGTTTACTGAGGTAGCCTGTCACTTAGCACAAGCCCTGGCCCGTTATAAGTACTCACTAAATGTTAGCACTGCTGCTGTTGTGGGGCCTGAGGCCAGATTTGAAACAAAGGCTAGGATTGACAAAGTAGTTAGCCTCTTCCACCTTAGGCCCGCAAAAGGGAAATCTAGAAGGACTGGTTGGCTTGGCACTGATGAGCTCCCTCTCCTTCTTTGCTCTCCTTCCCCTTCTCTCTCTCTAGGGGACACTACACAGAAAATGAGAACTGCTCACTGTCCTACCCCAGCCGAATTGGACGCGTATGCTAAGAAGGTCGCAAACAACCCACTGACTATAAAAATCTTCCCCAACAGTGTGAAGGTTCCCCAGCGGAAACACGTTCGTCGTACTGTGAACGGCCTCGACACATCAGCCCAGCGCTACAGCCCCTACCCGACTCAGGCTGCCACCAAGGCAGGCCTGCTTGCCATTGTCAAAGTGCCAGCCAAAAGCATACTCAAGGACTTTGACGGCACGCGAGCCCGGTTGCTCCCTGAGGCCATCATGAACCCCCCAGTGGCACCCTATGCTACTGTGGCACCCAGCACTTTAGCCCACCCCCAGGCCCAGGCTCTGGCCCGCCAGCAGGCCCTGCAGCATGCACAGACCCTGGCCCACGCCCCTCCCCAGACGCTGCAGCACCCTCAGGGTATCCCGCCACCCCAGGCACTGTCCCACCCTCAGAGCCTCCAGCAGCCTCAGGGCCTGGGCCACCCTCAGCCCATGGTCCAAACCCAGGGCTTGGTCCACCCTCAGGGTCTGTCTCACCAAGGTCTCCAGCACCCCCCCAATCCCTTGTTGCATGGAGGCCGGAAGATGCCAGACTCAGATGCCCCCCCGAATGTGACCGTGTCTACCTCAACTATCCCCCTCTCAATGGCGGCCACCCTGCAGCACAGCCAGCCCCCGGACCTGAGCAGCATTGTGCACCAGATCAACCAGTTTTGCCAGACAAGGGCAGGCATCAGCACTACCTCAGTGTGTGAGGGCCAGATCGCCAACCCCAGCCCCATTAGTCGCAGTCTGCTCATCAATGCAAGCACCCGGGTGTCGACCCACAGCGTCCCCACACCAATGCCTTCATGTGTGGTCAATCCCATGGAGCACACCCACGCGGCCACAGCCGCACTGCCTGCTGCAGGCCCTGTCAACCTGCCCACGGGCATCCCTCGAGCCCCCACTGGCTACCCTAGCGACCTCAAGCCAGTCACCTGGAACCAGCATCAGCTGGCCCACCTACAACAGATGTGCAGTGAGGCTGGTGGGACGCCAGCCCCTGGCCTGACAGGCAAGCATGCAACAGGACGTGAGTTGGCAGGGCCTGGCTTTGTGGGCAAGGCCCCTGCCTACCCGCAGGAACTCTGCCTGGCACAGTCCTTCCATCTGAAGCCACCCCTGGAGAAGCCAACCCCATCCCCACCGGTCAACGGCCTGGCAGCCCCACTGGCCTACCCCAATGGTCACTACTTCCAACCCCTGTGGAATAACATCCTGCCCACTCCCAATAGCGACAGCTCGGGGTCTCAGGACCTCACCATGCCGTTCCACGGTGGGCAGCCCACAGGTGCACCCCTCGACTGTGTGGCAGCTGCTGGGGCCCACTACCGAGCAGGGACCGGGGGCGGTCCGGTGGCGAGCCAGAACAGCTTGATGCAAACAGTGGATTACCTAAGTGGGGATTTCCAGCAGGCCTGCTTCCGAGAACAGAGCCTGGCCATGCTGAGCAAGGCTCACCGAGCCCCTGGCAACCGAGCCCCTGATCCCACAGATAGTCAAAGTCTTCATATTCAGCACCCTGGGTATAGATAGGTAGCCCTGGTGCCCTCCACAAGCTACACATCATATACCCCCTCCTAGGTTTAGTCTTACTTTTGAGTAATTGGATAGTTCAAAGTTTTATTGCTCCAATGTGATCATTCTTAGATGTTTAAGAAAGGGAATTTGGTGGGGTCTAACAGAACAGAGGGGGATCCTCTGTGCCCTCATTCTGTCCCCTCCGCCAGGCCGCTTTTGGGTTGTTAGGACCTGGTCCCAGTCCCAGGCTTTTTTCTTAGCTGCCTGCCTGTCAGTCATGCGCCATGCCTACACCCCTCTGTCCCCTTGCAGTTCTCATCAGCCGTCAGCTCTTTTTCTTGCTCTGCCTTTCCCTTAGGACTGTGGTTGGGCTAAGGAAAGGGCCCTTAGTGAGGTGCCCAGCCTCCTAAGCTAGGCCCTCCCTGTTTGTCTTTATCTGGACTGAGAAGCCAGACTTCTCAAGTGCTCTGGAAGCTACTTCCTTATTCACCCTGAAGACTTCAAATCAAAACTGACCAGTCTTTATCTCCTCTCAGCCTTTCTCCATCCCTCAAGGCTTTGTTTTACATCTACGTTGATTCCAGAGCCACTTAACTTGCCCTTGCCACCTTTCTCAAGGGCATCATCCTACAGGCACTTAGCCACCATCGTGAAAGGGGGGGGGGGTATCTTTGTGTTGGTGTCTTGGTTCCTGACTCCTTTTTCCAAACCTTCAGTGACCATCCAGCACACCCAAGATCCCTTTCTCACTGTCCTCTCCTAATTCACCTGCTGCCCTCATCCTCCGCCCCCTCAAAAAGACGAGCAAAACAAACAAAAATTGATCTTGAGGAGTTAGGTAAGGGATGATCACATTGGAGTTTCAAATTAAAAACACCAAAAAAAAAAAAAGGCATTTTTGGTTCTCGACACTGGCTAAGAATATTGCTCTACACTGTAAGTTTTCAATGTCATGTTTCTGTGTGAATGTAGTGTGGGTTTGAGTAGCATTGTGTGTGAGTAGCCCCACAGGTACATTTACCTTCTAGACACCTCCTTTTGCAACCCCTCAGTTTGATGAGAAAGAAAGAAAAACACAAAGCCTTAAGCTCTTTGAATTCTTCCTTTACCAAATGAGCATGGTTCTAACAGCCGAAGATGGGCGTTCATTGGAAACAGCCCCTCCTGCCCCTCATCCATCCTCCGCCCATACCCACCCCATGCTCACTGCATCTCACTCCCAAGTGACAGTCGGCTAGAAATATAAACTTTTCTGTAACTTTAAACTTAGATTATGTTTTGTTGTAATTTTTGCACCCTTTTGTTAAAGATGCATAGTTGGGCTCTGCCCTTTTTAACCAAATAAGCCCTCCCTTTTCCTCTTGTCTCTGGGGAATGTGAGCTGATGTTCTTATTTAAGATTTTGGGTTTTGTTTATTATATGCTATCCACTGTTCTTTAGCCAGAAATTCTCTAGTGATCTGAAGCAGTGTGACTGAAGACCAGTTTTTAAATTATGTGTTGGCAAGTTGCCTTATATTTAAAAAGAAAAAAAAAGCCTGATTGTGTTATGCCAAATGATAGCAACATGAAGTCCTAATTTATTGTTCCCGATTGTTTTCCTGCCGTCTGTGAACACTGGTACCTCCTTGTCCCTGAGCCCTCGGAGCACCTCTTGCTCCTGGTGCAATGCCTTCTCCCACGGCGTTGGCCACCATCTCACCCAGGGCCCCTTCCAGTTCTTGCTTCTCTGAGTTAAATTGAAAGAGCACTACTGTCTCCTTTATCCCTTGCTTGAGCTTCAAACCAGATATTTTTGCTGTGATTTTTTTTTCTAATGCCTCTCCCCGAAAGGTGAGCTGCCATTTTAGGAAATTGGACCAGACACCAAGTTGGGGGCTTTAAATCAAACCTCAAACCCATCTTCCTGTGTGGGGGTGCAACTCTCTGAAGCTCTCACTCTCACCCCTAATCTGCATGGAAAATGTACTGTGACCCCACCTCCACTCTTAACTGCCCTCGCCTTTGGTGTGAGATGTTTCCTAGTTCACCCTGAGCCCCTCACCCCTCTGCCAGCCAACCCCCAACCAGCAATAAGAGGCCAGACCAGGGCCTCCTACCCATACTCCCTGCCTCCATCCCACACTGCCCCTAGGGAATACCAGGATTCCTCAGCTGTCCACATACTGTAGCATTCATTCTCCACCTCCCTCATCTTCTCACCTGTGGTGGTTTATGGGTGTGATGGGGTTTTTAAGATTATTATAAACCAGTAAAAAGAAAGAAAACTCTCAATCTTGTCCTATTTGTTTATAACGCCTCATTTACTAAAAAGGACGTAGTTCCTCATTCTTAAGAGGGGGTCTCCTATTCATCTCATGAGAAGCTTTCCCAATCCATTATTGCACACCATGTGCTGAGGGGATTGTAAAGCATAAAAGTAGATTCTTCAGTCAGCCCCCAGAAGGTACCCAGCTGGCTGGACCTCTCCCTGGGCAGGACAGCTGGCGCCTTGAGATCTCCTGGGGAAGTATGGTCTGCCGCCACCCTTCAGTGAGGAGCTGCAGTGTGCTGCCACTTCCACTCCGAGGACTGTACGTCATTGGAAAAGGAGTGTTTGGCTAATAAGCCATTTAAGACCAAATGTGCCTCCCTTCTGCCAACAACACTGGAATTTCCGAGGGCCTCTGACGGAGGTGGTATTAAGTGCTCTAATCTATAACATGAAAAGTGGCTCTTTGGTGACTTGAATCTTGAGGATTGAGAACTGAAGAACTTGCCCCTTTTTTGTCTGCAGGGGGGGAAATACAAAAGAGCTATTTACAGTTGACCCTTGAACAACATAGGGGTTGGAGGGGCCTACCCACCCCCACCCCTCCACACACAGTAGAAAATAACGACTCCAAGTTTTACTAATAACCTACTGATTAGAAATCTTACCAATAACAGTCAACACATTTTGTATGTTTTATGTTGTATATTCTGTATTCTTTGTAATAAAGTAAGCAAGAGGGAAAAACGTTTTAACAAGAATACATTTACAGTATTTATTGAAAAAAGTCCAGTTCAAGCCTGTGTTGTTCAGGGGTCAACGAGATTCCCCATTCCTTTTTGCTGAGTATGGATTTGGGCCACAGTGTAATGGAAGAAAGGGAAGATTCCACAAGATGTGGGATTCGGTGAGGGTGGAATCACTGTCAGTAGCAGGAGTCAGTGGGTGGCTGTCAGAATACCGTTGGAGTGGGAAGCACTCTCCCCTCGTGGGCATGCTTGTATTTGCAGGTTGCCCTCTCGTGAAGGGGCTTTCACTCCTTCCCTACTCATGCCACCCCTGTGAAAGAGAGCCCTGTTACGTCTGTCACAGGAGACCTGCAGTCAGCCCCAGGTCACAGAGGTAGTGTAGACAGTGAGGTGAGAGAGCAGTTCACACTTTGTTGCAGAACCTGGCCTGAGTTCCATAAGGCAATCGAGACTGCCTGCAACAGCTGGGAGGAGGGCGAGGCCTGGGCGGGCGTGCAGCTGACTGCAGTCCCCTCTTGTTGCACACAGCTGTGGGCGGCATGTTCTGGCTTGCTGCAGCAGCAGTCTTGCCCACCAAGAGAACCCAAGTTTGGTCCAGTGTCCAACTTCTGTCGGAAAGATGGTTCCACCTGTTGCCTGAAACAAGTGCTTAAGTGAAGGCATTCCTTCTGCTAGAGCCCATAGTTATCCCCACCAGCTTCCAGGCATCCCGTACCGAGATTCTTTAGCTGGTGAAGGGGCTGTCTTTATCAGAAAGGCAGTCAGGGCCCCCATTCACTCCCTAGATCAGTGAATTTGACTTTTTGAAGGCTACGCTGGTTTCCCAGGCAGGCTGTGTCAGGCTGTCCTTTCCTGTCACTTTCTAAGAAGGGCTCCCTTCACCTGAGCTGTGTGGTGAAGGCAAGAAAGAACTACAGCCCTCAAACCTTCCCTTCACTAGATGTTTCTGTTGTAGGGCTTCACAGGGCCAGCCAAGATTAAGGTGCCTTATACTGACTGGCTCATCTTTACAACAAATCTAGGTGAGCAGGATTACTCTGATTTTACTAGTGAGAACAGATACCCCACATATAGCTAAGTAATCTGTCAAAAAGGAAGCACAGCAAGGGTCCAAACCAAAATTCAACTATTGGCAAAATTAAAAGGAGCTATACTTCTAAGGATTGCTGGAGCTTCAAACAACCCAGGTCCTGCCCCAAACCAGCTTAAAGACCACTGAAGTCAATTCACTCCTCTGTTTTTACTTCATCAGTCAAGTGTGGATAATCACAGGCACCCACTGAGGCTTAATAGGAAAACCAAATGAGTATGGATGAGAAAATCCAGTTGCCTTATACACCTTGAAGGCCCCTTTGCTCAGCTCAGTTTCTGGTTGTGGGCTGGACTTTGGAGTCAGGTTAACGTTCATCAAGCACTTACTTTGTGCCGAGGACATGCTTTGTCTGATTATTAAGTCTTCACTATGGCCTAAGGTAGGCTCTTCTATTGTGATAAAAGCTGTTTAACTTGACTGTTGCATTAAATGAAATAACACAGGTAAAGTGCTTAGCAGTGTCTGCCACATGAAAATAATAAGTGGTAGCTATTATCACTAGACCAAGAAAGAGTTGCCCAGGGCAGAGGCACTCTCTTTGGTGGCCTATCTGGGATTCCAACTTGGTAATATTCAGAACCTGCACCTTCGCCATGTAACCACCAGAGGGCAGCGCAGGCATCTCATCCAGACAAAGCTTGATGCACTCCCCCTGCCGTCCACCAGAGGGCGACCCAGCAGGGCAGCTGGATCCTGGCGCCAGAGTGGCTGCAGCTTATCTCAGACTGGTGGTCCTCTGCTTTCACCGTTGGGCCCAGCCTTCCAGAACCCTAACCAACACAGATGAGTCAGACTGGAACCAAATTAATAAATACAATTCAGGATTTATTAAAAATCAGGGCTCCCCTGCTGCGCCCTCCTGGCACTAAGTAAATAAATAACCAGAGAAGGTACAGCTGGGGAAGGGGGAAAAGAAATCAGATCTCAAGACAGATTCTTTAACTACCCAACTCCCCCTTCCCCCCTATGGCTCTTGGGACATAGCACCAGCAGGCACCTCAGTCCAGGTAGAGTGTGGCTGGCACCAAGGGATGTCTGCCCTGCCCAGGAGAGGAGACAGGCCCTAGGATCACTTGTTTCCAAGCCCTTGACAACCCCAAGGCCTGCTTGCCACAGGGGCCAGGGCTGAAGCACCAATAGGAGGCACCTGAGGGTGGTAAGGGAGGGGGGGGGGGATAGGGTAACAGAACCTAGGCTGCAGAAGCAGCTGAAAGAGGGTCCTGCCCCCTTCTCCAGGCTCAGCCAGTGCCTAACAGAGGTCATGTTCCACCCCCCTTTCTCCTGGAGCCCTGTGTGTGCTCAGCTGAGGATCTTTCGGGGTAATTCAACCGAGGCACGGATGAAGACTGCATCATCCCGCACATAGTTTCGCTTGCGGATATCCTGGTGGGAGATGAACTTGGGGTAACCAAAGCCCAGAGAACTCTCATCCAGGGAGCCCCGCCAAGTGCCTGGTTTTTGGAAATTCTTCCAGTTTGGGTCAGGGTGAAAGGTCTCAGTGACATGCTGTGGCTTAGCCAACCCAGGGTCACTCTGATCCAGCAAGGAGAAGGTGACACGGCGGGCAAAGGGCCACTCAAGGAGATTGTCAAAGGCACCTGGCAGCACACGAATGTAGAGCGAGAGGTGTGTGCCCTCACCACTGCCATTGCCATTGAGGAACGCAGACACCTGCAGCTTGTAGCCATACTTATGTGTGTAGAAGGCAGGGCTAAAGCACTCGAGGTTGGGCTTGGCTTTGGCTTCCTGTAGCCGTCGCCCGTAACTGCCAATCTTCCAGATGAGCACACCATCACTGCCTACGGACAGCTCCTCCAGCTCTCTGCGCAGCTCCTGCAGCTCCTGCCGCTGCCGGTTCACCAGGGCACACATCATGGCCAGATGGGGCTTCATGCTCTCCTCCACGTGTCTCGCCATTGCTAGCTTAGGGCACTGTTGGCAAAGCCCCAGGCCATGGGATAAAGGAGAAGAGTTATCAGTAGGGGCAGACCCAGAGCAGAGGGGAGGAGTGGGTACACAGGGTGGCAGGTATCCAGCTCTCAATGAGAAGGAGGCTGGCAGCAGGGGGAAGGGCCAAAAGGTTCAGAGCTGCAGAGCAGGGACTACCCAGGGCTCGGGCCCCTATGTCCATGCCTGAGACTTCAAGGACCAAGAAGCAGGCTGATAGGAAGGAGGAGGGGCATCTCACCCTGTGCTTGCAGCCGGAGTCTTTGAATGGACACAGCACCAGAGCAGTGCTACAGCTGTCCTTCAGATGGCCTGGCAGATCCTCCCGAGCCACGGTTCCCACACCACACTGGTTGGGGCAGGGCACAGGCAACCTTGGGCACTGGTACTGGTGGCTCTAGGACCGTGGAGACAGTGGTCAGTAGTAGCCTGACTGCCTGCTACCTACCCCACAGCCCAGTTCAGTGAGGGCCTCACCTGGATGGTGTCAAAGACAAACTCCTTGGCACAGTATGCGCAAGGCTGGGTGCGCTTGGGACACTCAGAGGTGGCATGCTGGCCTAGCAGCCGTCGCATCATGCGGGCACCACACTTGTTCTCACAGTACACACTCTCTTGGGGACACACACCCTCATGGCTCTGTGGAAAAGCCAGAGGGGCTGAGTCAAGGGATCCCTGGGCCACTAGGTGCCCCACTCTTCCTTTACCCTTAGCCAAGCCCCACCCACCTCAAAGGCCTCCCCACTGAAGTCACAGCCACAAAACTCGCACTTGAGGCGCCGCTTGGGGCAGTCGTGCTGCAAGTGTGCGGGCAGGTCTCGGCGGCTCAGCTTGGTGGGGCAGCGATTGGGGCAGGGGACCACATTGAAGCTGCAGGTATTCAGGTGACCCTGGTGGGAAAGACTGTGGTTAGTGCCTGCCAAGTGAAGGGTAGTCCCCACCCCCATCAGAGCCTCACCTGCAGGTGGCGAAGTGGCCCACTCCAGCGGCAGCCCTCCTCACTGTGGATGCAGCGGATAGGCAGGCTCAATACCTGTACCTCCAGCTCTGGGTCCGGGTAGATCTGGGGACGCGGGTGGGAGAAACTTTTCGGGGTCAGAGCCTGCTATGTTCCCCACGTCCTCCTCCACCACCAGAGAGGCTAGCTCTACCTTAGAGCCAATAAAAGCCTCTCCTGGGCTACGTTCCCCTCTGTGCCCAGGGACAAAGGGCACAGTAGGCAGTATCTGCTCCATTGCTGAATCCTGGGGTCCCCAACATGTCTGCACATGATACTCCCTTTGGAGTGACAGCCAATAAGCCTGCTCAGTCTCGGGCAGCCCCCAAACTCTCTGCTTCCTTTCCTCTGGTGGAAGGGTCCTGGCCCTCAGCCACAGGTCTGGCCTGCCACCTGGAGGGGAGGGGAGCACTTCCTGTGGGCACAGAGCACCTCCGTGTACCCCCATAGACTGGGCATAGTGCCTGTCCTCCAGGGCAAATATGGGCCTCATTTGCAAACTGGCCTGGTGGGCGGGAACAGGCCACCTTTGTGGGGGCGCATGATTCGGAAACACTAGGTTGACATTGGCCCTGAGCCTACTGGCTGCCAGTAGCTCCACCCTCCACCAAGGGCAAGAGCATGTACCTGGGCCTCTGCCTGGCTCAGTGGACTCACCTTGGCATAGTCCAGAGGAAGCTGGTCCTCAGGGCATTTGAAGACTCCTTCACTGTGAAAGGGGAGGGGACAGGGTCAAGGCTCCCCACACTAATTGGGAAGGGAGAACCTCAGGCTCCACCCCCTCAACCAGCGCCGCCTCCTTCCCTCACCAGACCGGTTCCTAGCCAGCCCCACCTGAGAGGGCAAGCAGAGTCCTGAGGGTACCGGCTTCCCCAGGACCCCAGATGATCCCAGCTCTTGTCCTGGGGAGGGGAGTTCTGGGCCCACTGGCAGCAGAGACAGCTGCCTCAGACAGCATTTGGCCAACAGGTGGCAGCTGGCACCCCTCCCCCCAGGATGGCAGCTGGACTGGGAAAGAACAGGCAGCTCAGCCATGCCCTCCTCCCAGGATAGTTTTCATTGGCTGGATGAAGAGCTGATGGGGTGGGGGTGGGGGGGGGGGGGGGGGCAGGCAGGGTGAACAGGGATGGGCTGAGATTAAGTGCCAGGGCTTCCCAACCCCTGTGAGAGTGCCCAGCCAAGAACCCTGGGCAAAGGTCAGCTAGGGGCCACCTTATCCCATCCCTTCCCTCCTCATGAGGGTGTGTCTCCTAAAGCAAAGAGGCAAGGCTCGCTTCAAGGCACTGTGTCTACTTCACTCCCATCCAGTCCTCAGCACCTGTCTGAGAAGGGGCTGAATATCCCTATTTTGCAGATGAAAGCTGACGCTACAGCTGAAGCGGCACCTGGATGTGTCTGATTCCACAGCTCAGACAGGTTCTGCTACACCACACAGCACACGGAAGAGAGGCTAGGGCAAGGCAAACTGTCGAGGCAAGCACAGCCAACACTCTGCACAGCATGCATCCGAAGCCCGTTGACCCTGCCCGCTGCCCTCCCTCTCCACCAGGCAGTTAGCACTCAAGGAACCTGCTGGCGTGCCTCCTTCTGCCTATATGGCCTTGCTGACCCTGGCCAGGACGAGTCAAACATGCCTGCCGTGGCCTAGGCAGAGCAAAGGCTCACCCAGCAGGACTGAAGGCCCTCAGGCATGGTGTTTGAGTCAGTTATGTGGGAAGCAGTCAGGAATGGGGCAGAAGCAGAGGCCACATGGCGACCCTGTCAATAATGGTACTTCCCGGAACCTGGGTAGTCCATTCCCCAGATGCCCAAAGGATTTCTGGCACCAACCTCCTCTCCCGGACCCCACTACTACCATCGGCTGTGCCAACAATGCAGAGAACAATACATGCCCAGGCACTGACGAGGTGTGCCCGCGCCCACGGGGCAACCAGCCTTCCGGGGCCAACCTGGCAGGAGTGGGTTAACAGGGGTAGGCTGTGGGGGAGGGGGGGTCTGCTTGGTTGCTTCAGGAATGTGCTGACCACTGGCTTTGGAGACAAGGAGGGGACTGGGGCAAGTCCCCAGGCCTCAGGCAGATTAGCCTGGGCAGCTGAGGGCCCCACCAGGACAAAGTTTCCTGCCAGTGCTGCGGACACCCTTCCTCGCACAGTGTCGAGTGGTGGTGTGGTGGTGAGGGGCAGAGCCTGTCCAGCCACCTCTTCTCTCCTCCCTCCAGTGGCCTCAGCAGCAAAATTCAGGCACTAGGGGAAAGGGGGAGGCAGAGGCAGAGACTGCTCCAGGCTGTGCAGTGGAGGCCCAGGCCCAGGGGAGAAGGCCGGATGGGGGGAGGGGGCTGTGGGAGAGGAAAAGGGGATTTCCGGGGGAAGGAGGGGCAGCAGCAGCAGCGGAGAGGGGCAGAGGAGGTGGAGGGAAAGGGGCCTGGCCGCCCCCTCCTGGATCCTTCCCTGAGGCAGTGGGGGTGGGTCAGCTAAGTTGTGGGGGTGCTCAGCTGGCCTCATCTGGAAACCAGAGGGCTAGGGAAGGGCACTGGAGAAGACAATGGGGCTGTGTGTCGTAGGGGAGTATGTGTGTACACAGGAGGGAGGGAGGAGGGTGAGGGAAAAGGAGGAGGGGGCAGCATAGCGGCGTGTGCAGGAGCATATGTGAGGGCAGGAGCCGGCCCAGGCTTCGGGGAACAGAAAACAAAGGGCCTGCTGAGATTTCCGCCAGCCGAGGAACTGCAGAGGACAGCCGGAGGGAAAGAAGGAGGGAGGGAGGAAGGGAGGGTGCACTAAAGGCAGGAGCCCCTTAGATGCTCTCCTGGCCCACACCCTTCCGCAAACAGCCTCCTGACACAGGGCAGTGGCTGGCTCAGGCCTCCCTGGTGATCTTGGGACACAACCTCCCAACACCTGGCCTGAGCAGCTATGAGTGTGGGCAGGAGACTCAAGACCACAGGTCACCCAGAGCCCAACGGATACCAAGAGCCCCAGGGGGTACCTGGGTCCCTCACATCTGTAGACCACCCAAGGCACCCAAGATCCCCAGGGGGTCAAAAGGGACACCCAACAGCTTCCTCTTCAGGGGAGATGGACATCACAGCCCTCCCTCTATTGTGTGCCCACACAGAGCCGGGACTTAAATCCCAGATAAGCCTTTAAGAAACTGTGTGACCATAGGCAAGTCAGACCTTTCTTTGAATCTTTCTGTGAAATGGGAGAACAATAGCTGCCATTCTTGTAACATTCCAAGAATCGAAAGAGATTAGTTAAATGGGTGAAAATTCCGGAGGTTTAAGGTGCAATGCTGGAGGGAGGGTTTTATCGTCCTCTTCCCAGAAGGATTCAAAGTTCAAGGATGAGGCCGCTGTGGCTCCCAGGTGAGGGGGAAGGGCCGGCTACCAGTCAGGAAGGGCGTTTTTTTCCCACCACCAATCCGCAGAGAGGCATTGAATTCTTCAGACCGGGCGCGGGAGCCGGTGTAACCCGGAACCCTACGGATTTGTAGTGTTTGGGATTTTCCTTTGGGGCCTGACGTCATCACCGCCCTGTGATGTCACGGTGGGAGCCCCTGAGGTCATGGGGCCAGGTGCAGACAAAGGCCCGGTGTGCCTCCAGCCTGGACCCCTCCCCATGCGGTGTCCCCCGCACCCGAACCCGCCATCCCCGTTACCCCCTGCCCGCACCTGAGGAACTCCTGCAGGCAGGTGTCGCAGAAGCGGTGGCCGCAGGTAGAAACCTGCACGGGCTCGCGCATAGGCTTCCCGCACAGTGGGCACAGCAGTCGCCGCTTGGGCTTCTCCAGGAACTTGTAGTCAAAGCCGGGCATGGCGAGCGGGCGGGCACGGGCGAGCGGGGGCCGGGCACGCGGCGGCCCCACAGCCCGCGCCTCGCTCGGGCCGCACTCCCGGCTCCGGGCAGCACCGAATGTTGGCCGCGGCCGGCCGCTCAGCCCGCCCGCCCCCAGGCCGGAAGAGGGGGCGGAGCCGCGCCCGCTGGGTCCTAGCGCCAGTGCCTGTCGTGCTACCCTCCCACCCGCGAGGATGCTGTTCGGGGTCGGCGTTTGGCTGGGCTTGCTCTCTCCCTGAAGCAGCGGCTCCTCTTTCCCCTTGGGAAGGGAGATCGTGGCTCCGCTTCTTCCCAGAGCTGTGAAGGAGTGGAGCTGGGGCGGGGCGGGGCGGGGGAGAGGGGCCTAGGGGACTTGCCAGGCCGCACTACAAAGGTTCACTTCTCTCGGGTGTACAGCTCGCTCACTCCCGCTCTCGGGGGCCACGTGTCGCTCAGGAGCCCAGGACTCCAGCTTCCAGGTGCTAGGCAGCCGAAGCCTGGCAACCAGATCTGGGGAGCTCAGCTGGGGAGGGGAGGCAGGGCTGGGCACTGGGCCAGAGCAAACTTGGCCCCAGCCTTAGGCTGCGCCCACATTCTTTCCTTGACCATGGCCCTGCAGTTGAGACTGGGGACCCAGCCCAACTCTAGGGTGTTGGGCAGCCACTCCTGCTCCTGAAGAGACCACACTCTAGGCAGGCAGCTGATGTTTTTATTGGCACTACTTCCCAGGCATCTGGAAACTGGTCTGCTCCAGCCAGTTACTCTTTCCCTCAACCTGTTTTGGAGGAATGGCGAGGGCTGAGGGGCAACCTTCAGCAAGGATGCCAGGTGACATATAGTTGACGTAAGCTGCCTAGGACCTCCCTGCCCCAGGCAATGCACAGGCTAGGCCGCTGGAATGGCCAGTCCAGGCAGGCTCTGCCTGTCCTGCTCCAAAGCACTGAGCTGCAGTCCTCGAGGACACCAGGGACGCATTTTCTACCAGGGCTAGGAGAGGGGCAGGGTCTGGGTAGAGCCACATCCATCTCCAGCCTTTTTCTGCCAAGGCTCTGAAGACCACCCTGTTTCCAAAGGTTAGATCTGGTTTCCAACTCGGCACGCTGGACCCTGGGGGCAATGACTTAAGAGAAGAGGTGGGGAGGAAAAACAGAAGTGTTAGGGGGATAGGGTAGGTTGAGTTTTACACATTCAGGGCCAAAAGCAGCTCAGAAGCTCCACTAATTCTTATACCCCATTGGACACAATCCAGGGGCCATCGGTGGGGACAGTTGTGCCTCAGGCACCTGTACTTTTCAAGAACATCCCGAGAAGCAACAGCAGGGTGGTGCAGAGGTGTGTCCAGCTGCCTCACGGGGGGACGGGCTCGTCTGTGATGGCTGGAGAGGACAAAAAGGAAACAGCTCTGCAGCTTCCCAGAGGGCAGAGCCTCCAGCAAGCATCACTCCCCTCACCCGGGGCTCCCCCTTCCACACTGGGCCCTGGACTCTGCCGCACCAGAAATAGAGGTTTAAACTAAACTGAAGTAGGGACAGGGGGAGAAAAATATATTTGGGCCCTGGAAGCAGTGAAGGCAGCCCTTTATTTAATGAGGCCCCAAAGTGCCAACCCCAGGCAGGAAACAGTTTTACCCCACAGCTTCTGCTTTCATTGATTTGAGGACTAAAGATGCTTTTAGTGATTTGAGCTGTGACCACTGGGGGTGGGGGTGTGGACAGAAGCCAGCTGGGTTAACCCCGTGTGGATGAGGTGGGAAAACTTGTAACTCACGGCGAACAGCCAGAAGAGTGTTTCCATGGCAACAGGACACAGAAGTCACAGTGTAGGGGTGTGTCTCGTCCAGCTGCACTGGACGGGGGAGTCCAGCATCTTCATCCCTCCTTCCCAGTCGACCTCGAGCCCCTTTGCCCCAAGAATATACTTCACCTTCTGCCAAAGAAAGCCCCAAAGAGGGAAACGGGGACACAGCTTAGTGAGCAGTGGTTCTCCCAGACTGCTGTACTGGTCCCACTATGAGGTTGCTGAGTTCAACAGACCCTAGCATGATACTCCTCACATTGCCCATGGGCCTGCCCATACCCGTATCTGCTCCCACTAATCACCTGCTCCAATAGCTACAGTGAAGGCGTCCCCACAGGCCACCATTGCTATCTTGATGCCCTGGAGGCCTTGGACTTGACAAGGTGCCCGGCTGACCCGGCGAGCACTGGTACCCAACTGCCCATGCTGATTGCTGCCGAAAGTATAGCAGTCACCAGAGGCTGTAAGGGAGGAGAGGGGAAAGGAAGGAACGAGGTGCCTCAGCTGAGGTCCCAAAGAGGCCAGCAGAGTCCCCCACCAGCCTCCTTGTCCAGGTCCTCCTGCTCACCAGTCACAGCAGCTGAATGAGCAGTGCCCAGGTCCACACTCAGCAGGGGCTCCTGGTCCAGTGGTGCAGAACCTAGCGGCATGAAGCTCAGAGCCTCTTCCACCTGTTGGTGGGGGCTAGGCTCCTCCCCCAGGCACAGGTGGTCCAGGCCCAGCTTGTTGAATCTGAGGGCAGAGCCAGGAGCCAAGTCCAAATGACACTGTATAGATTGTCCTACCTCCACCTGTTGGGCAGGAGTGGGTGCACCAAGGGACAGATCCCACCCTGAGCCGAACCAATAGCACTCCCAGCCCTCCTTAGTTCTAATCCCTGGTGGAGGGTAGTCAATGACAGATGGAGCATTAGCAGCCAAGGGTGGCGAGGGGACAGTCAAGTCATCCTGGGGCACCTGCTTACCTGTTGCTCCCACAGGCCAGGACTTGGCCAGGCACAGTGAGGATCATGGAGGAGTCAATGCCACACACAACCCGCTGGGCCTCCTGTCCTGGCAGCACAGGCACCTGCTGAGGGCAGTTGTGGGACTCCCTGGTGCCTAGTCCCAGCCGGCCTGTAAGGGGAAGCAAGTGTGGGGCTAGTTTGAGCTTCAGGGTTGCTGATGCCAGGATGAGGACCCCTGGGAAGGCAGTAACAATGTGGGTGGTCCCCTCAGCCTGAAATGTCCATCCTTGGCCCCTCTGTGGTCAAAATCCTATTCCTCCTTTAAGGTCCTGTTCAGGTGCTACCACTGCTCCTCCAGGTAGAGTCCCTTGCCATTCCTTGAGTTCCCACACCTCTGGACCTTGGGCAGAGCCCTGATGCTCTTGTCCTCTGTCATGAGGATGTATTATTCTTCCCCCATCAGAGCCCTCCAAGGGGACTGGAACCGCATCTAAGTCATCTCTAGTTTCAACGCCCAGACTGATGCCTCACCCAGAGGGCCACAGTGAAAACTGCAGGTGAGTGAACTCTTCCTCAGAAGTATCTGAAGGAACTGACATCTCTGATCATCTTGTCTGAGCACCCGGCACAGGGTGGGCACATGGTGGATGTGTGGTAAAGGTTTGCGGAGTAAGTAAATGAATGGAATTGGAGAGAAAAGAGGGGAAAACAGGCCATGGGGTGGAAGGTGGGTGCAAAGGCAAGCAAAGCATAGCCAGCGGGAGCTGTGACGTGGAGCCAGAGGCTGGGTGGAGAGCTTACCACCATCTCCGCGGCCCCAGGCAAATAACTCTCGCTCAGTGGACAGAGCCAGCACATGAGACGCCCCACAGGCCACCTGCACCATCTCATAGCCCAGCAGGGCCTCCACAATGGTGGGCTAGAGTAAGAGAGGAAACTGTGGGCAAAGGACCCGGACACAGCATCCTCTGTAGGGGCAAAGTCGGAAGCTGCAAATTTCCATGAGATGCATGTTTCTTTAACTCCCCCCACTACCTCTGCAACCACTGGGGAAAGCCTGGTGTTTCTGTACTTCCCCTAATGCTGCCCAGAACAGATGCAGCCTGGGAGCTGGAGGGACCTGTGGTTGCTGAAGATTCCCCTGCCCCCAACCCGGGTATCAGCTCTCAGACCGGCAGGTTCCTTGCCATCTCCCCCACTTCCTCCTCCCCAAGGTACATGCAGCACCCACCTGGCTGATGTCATTGAGGCTGCCATGGCCTAGGCACCCATTGCTGCCACTACCAAAAGTCATGATGATACCTCGGTCTTGGGAGGAGGCAGTGGAGCAAAGGGAAGGGAGAGAGATTAGGCTGTTTTTCCAAAGAGACCAGTCCAACCTTGGGTTGGAGAAGCAAGACAAGTTAGTTGGAGGCTAAGGCTAGACGAATGATAAGGACAGGGGTCTCTTTTCCCAAGTGTGTGATGTTAGACAAGTGACTCAGCCTCTGAGCCTTAGTTTCCAGATCTGTCAAATGAGATACTGTAACTACCACCCCAGGCCCACTGTGAAGGGTAAAAGAAATAGTGTAAGTAAACCCCTGAAATAACTAATAGATAGAAGCATTATTAATCGAGCAGTTTGTAAATGACAGGCAAAGAAGGAAGTTGCCCTGGGGGGCCTTCTGATAGCAGGGTTCCCACAGGGTCGTGTCTGGACTCCACTAACCAGTCAGGCAGGCTGTGAAGAGGTCCCCACAGGCCACGTGCTTGATGGTCACACCTGACTGGCCCTCCAGGAAACGTGAGATGAACTGGGGCTGCTGCTGCTCCACTGCCCCAGGAAGGAGGGCGCCCCCGCCCGTACCTAGGGGCGGGGCCTGCGGAGGAGGCAGGGGAGGGCGTGGAGCCTGGGCACCCCCTTCCCTATGGCACACCCTCAGCATACTCTAGGCCCACCGCAGCCTGCTCACCTCCCACAGGATGAGGCGCCCAGAGCGTGTGACACCAGCCTTCTGAGTGCGCCCGGCAGCCACCTGGACCACCTCTGTGTTGAGCATGGGCAGCCGCAGAGGAGCGCTGAGCCCCCCACCCCACGTGTACACGGAGGACAGTGGTGGTGGAATGGCTGGCCGTGCGGGTCCCCGGGGGATGCCTGTGGGAGCAGCTCATCAGGCCTGTTACACTGGCGGGAATGGAAAGGTGTCCAAGGGGGCCCAGAAAGTCAGCTGGACTTACCCCTGCAGCGGGCACTGGTGGTCCTGCTCCCTGTGCTGCCTGGGGCCAGGGATGGCCCAGTGGTCAGGGACTTCTCTGCCCTGTGGGACAAACAGGGGCCTTAGGACACCGACCAACCTTCCCTGGTATTCCCACACACAGGAATGGAGGACTTGTCCTGAGGGCCCCTATGCCCCAGTCTCCCGTGCTCCCACTGGGTGGCCCCTGCTGCCCAGGGCTCCCTCCCTCACTCCCTGCACAGGCCTTCGCATGCGAACACTGCCCACGTCCGTGTGGAGGTTGAGGAGGGCACGGATGCAGAGAGGCTGCGCCATGATGTGGCTGAGTGGTGGCCGCTGCGCCGGCTCCAGGCTGAGCAGACTTAGGACGAGCTGGCGTAGCTCTGGGCTGTACCGGTCAGAGATGGGTGCAAAGGTGCCACTCATGATCTTCAGCACCAGCGCTGGCAGGTTCTGTGAAGGCACAAGTTGTAGGGCCGGCCAGAGCCTCAGGCCAGGCTCGTGGGTGGCTCCAGCGCCAGCCCCTCATCTGATGGGTGGACACAGCCCTGTGCTCAGGAGCCTTCAGTCTGGCAAGGGGACTCCCAAAATGATAGGGGATAAGGGGACCCAAACCCTGCTTTCAAGAACCTCTCATAGGGGAGGTATGTCCTTAGAAACCCCAGATTGTTGGGAAAAGTCTGGACTTTAGTAGGGTCACTAAGCTGATGGAGGAGCCCCGCCTTCAGCAGCTCTCAGTTTAATCCTCACTTGAGGACATAGTCATTGATTTGAGAGAGAGAGAGAAACATCCATGTGAGAGAGAAACATGGATTGGCTGCCTCCTGTATGCACCCTGACCAGGTATCAGACTACAACCTAGGGATGTGCCCTGACCGAGGATCAAACCTGAAACCTTTTGGTGTACAGGACGATGCTCCAACCAACTGAGCCACTTGGCCAGGGCAGGAGCCCTCAGTTTAAACGGGGGTCCCAAGCCCTACCCTCAGAAATCCATAGTCTGAAGGAAGCCACAGCCCTGCCCTGGTGTAATCCACCAGTCTGATGGAGACATGACTCAGACACAGAAGAATCACAGAAGCAGTTGGAGCCTGGGACTTCAGAGGGAGGGAGATAGAGATTTCCGGGCTATCCCCTTGAGGTTGCTTACTCACCGCAGCCTCAAAGGCCCTCTTGAGGCTAGCCAGCTCATAGAGGACGCAGCCCAGGGCCCAGATGTCGCTCTTCTGGTTGTAGGGCTTGCCCTCACACAGTTCAGGGGAGATGTAGCATGGAGTGCCCACCACCTGCAGGAAGGAAGCTAAAATTACAACCCAGGGAGGGAAGACCAAGAGCTCTGCCCACAGGGCCACTTGGAGAGATCTTCTCCCCCAGGCAGGCCAAAGTGCTTCCTCCTGAAAGACAACCCAGCCAGGGGCTAAGGAGCCAAAATCTTGGGGTGGGATATAGGGTTACAGAGTGAGCCTGGCCCTCTAAATCTCCAGCACTGCTGAGGTCCCCTCCATGCCCAGGCACCGTGTAGGCCTTGCTTTTGCTGCTAAGGATCTTGGAGATGCCAAAGTCACCAATCTTGACAACCATGCGATGCTTGTCAAGAAGGATGTTTTGGGTCTTGAGGTCCCGGTGCAAGATGAGGTGGGTGTGCACGTGATGCAGTGCAAGCAGGATCTGCACAAAGAAGTGCATGATGGTCTCCTCCTCCAGCAGGGAATTACAGCGCTTTTGGATGAACTCCGCCAGGGTGCCACCTGCAGCCACAAGGGACTAGTCAACATCCAACCTCTTCCAGGCCTGAGACTTTCCTTTTCTGAAACTAAACACCCAGACAAGGCAAGGGCCTCCCAGCATCACACGACTGGGATCAGAATTCTATACCTCTGACCCTCAGCCAAGCCCAATCCAAGGAGGGAAGCTGGCTAATCTGTGTCTGTCCCAGAGGTGAGAGGCCCTGAGAGGCAGGCTAGTGCAAGGAGGCTGGCCCACCTGGTGCATATTCCATGGCAATCATGAGGGCCTTGTCCTCCAGGAAGTTCTCGTAGTACTCAATGACATTGGGGTGATTGAGGAGCTTAAGGACCTGACACTCATTCTGGGCTGCCTGCCGCTCTTCCTTGGTCATCTGCTCCACTGGGATCTGCTTGATGATCACCAGCTTCTGGTCCGCCTTGCGCAGGCACAGGTGCACAATCCTGAGGACACAGTACAGCAGTGGGTACTGGCCAGCCTCCCGCCACGCATCAGGCTGGGAAGACCTGGTGACTGGATAGTGACTAAGGGCATCTGAGTGCACAGATCACTGAATTTAGGAATGGGGAGCAATAACCACAAACTCTGAGACCTTAGGCAAGTCATTTAGCTGATTTGAGACTCAGTTTCACCACAGGCCCAATGCAGCAAAGTTAGTCTTCATCTCTTTAAGTTTCCACAGACACTGAGGTTAACTGTCTGGGTTCAAATCCTGGCTCCTCCTCCTCCTACTAGTTATCTGGTCTTGGATTAGGAGACATCATCATCTGGAAAACAGAACTGACCTCACAGGGTTGTTAAGGAGATCAAGTTAGAAAATACATGTAAGGCATTTAGCACAGTACCTGACACATGGAAAATGCTCAGTGAGTGGAAGCCATTCATATTATTTTTCTTTCAAGTATTTGGTTGGTGTCCACAAAAGTAGGGTTCTTGCCCTGACCAATGTGGTTCGGTTCATTAGGCATACTTGTGCAAGGTAAAAGGCTGCCAGTTCGATTCTGTGTTGGGGCACATACCTGGGTTGTGGGTTTGTCCCAGATTGGGACACACATGAAAGGCAAACGATCTGTGTTGCTCTCCATTTCTCCCTCCCTTCCCCTCTCCCTACAAATAAATAAATACCATTTTTTTTAAAAAAGCAGGGTTCTACGCTCTGGCTGGCGTAGCTCAGTGGATTGAGTGCGGGCTGTGAGCCAGGCATCACAGGTTCGATTCCCTGTCAGGACACATACCTCGGTTGCAGGCCACGGCCCCCAGCAACCGCACATTGATGTTTCCCTCTCCCTCTCTCTTTCTCCTTCCCTTCCCTCTCTAAAAATAAATAAATAAAATCTAAAAATAAGTAAATAAAAAAAATAAAAAGCAGGGTTCTTGCTCTTTCTTGTTCACCATGATATCCGCAGTGCATAATCTAGTACATATCTCAGCACATAGTAGGAGCCCAGTATCTGCTGAATGAACGGACCATAAGATGATCATCTAAATACCAACTTTGTATTTCCAGCTCTGACCTCTCCTCTGAGGCTGACTCACATATCCAACTATCTACTTTGCATCTCTACCTGAATGTCTCACAAGCATCTTAAATTTTAACAAATTCAAAATAAAATTCTTCATTCCTGTCCCCAAAACCTTTCCTTCTTCAGTCTCTTCCATCTCAGCAAATACCACCACCATTCCCCAGTTATTAAAGCCAGACACCTGAAAATCATGCCAGAATCCTTCCTCCACTTCACACTAACACATCAGTAAATCCTGTCTCTACCTCCAAAATATTGTGAACCCATCCATTTTCTTGTATCCTTTAGTACAGCTCTTGGCAAAACCATCATTTCTTGCCTAAAACACTCTGTGCTAACCCTCAAAATGTCACCCTCAAATCTACATTCCATACAGCAACCAGAGTGATCTTTTTAAAATGCAAATCATATCAAGAACATATCCTCTGATAAACCTCTGCAAATAAATTTAACACCATTTACCTAAGCCTAAGGCTAGATTCTGGCTCTGTCCCCACATTTTATAGCATTCTTTACCTTGCATACTACATTCCAACTACACCAGACTTTTTCTTAGTTCCTTGAATACTTTGAATTTCTCTCCATGTGAAGACCTGAAAAGCTCTCCCTTCACCCTCAGACTGGTACTCATTCCTCAAACCTTGGCTTTAAACTTTACCTCTCAGAGAAATTTCCTTGATCACTCCCCCAAAAATACTTCTCTTGTATTATACCCTGATCTCGCAGCTTGTTAATAACTGCTTTAACAATGTCTTGTTTACTGTACATTTTTCCTATAGTCTGTAAGCTAAAGGGGAAAAAATCACGCCTATTCTTAACTGTATTCCCAGCTCCGAAAGCCTCAATATTTGTTGAATGAATGAGTCCGTCATCTAACTCGAGAACTCTGAGGGGGCGCAAAGGCTTGCAGAAGGCAAGCTCCTTAAAAGCTGAGTCTCGCAGCCCGGACCTGGACCGGAAGTTTGGGCGGGGCTTGCCAGACTAGGCGCTCACGCTTCGGGGCGGGGCTAGCCGGCAGCGATTTCGCGGACAGAGTTGGGGTTTACTTTCCCTCTCCCTGAGTAATTTCCTCCCCCAGAGCCCTGGCTCACCCGAAGGCACCTCGTCCCACCACTCGGATCCGTTCGTACTTGTCCATCTCATTTCTCAGTCACGTTTCCGGAACCCCCTACACCCAGACGCAGCGCATGCGCGAACCTGCCCACTCTAGAGCCACGCCCCCTACACTGCAATATAATTGCTGGGAGCTGCAAGTGGAATTAGGTGTCGGTTTAAGCTTCGCATCTCTCTACGATTTTTCAACTTTCCTGCAACCCGGATGAGCGGGGTTGCTTTTTCAAGGTCCAAGGGAGGACGGGGCGATATGCTATTTCTTGGCGCGCTTCGCAATGGCCTGCACTGTACCTTCCCCACACTCCTGATTTCATCCACCCTTCGCAGAGCTTCCTAAAGCGAGAGGTGCCCTGCGCAGGTCAAGTGAGGGTGAGAAGCAAACACCAACTTCTCTCTGCCCCCATTTTTGCCCACTAGTTACTGTTTCGAAAAGAGCAAATTCGCATTGGCACACAAACGATAAACATTACCAAAACTGAATCGAGTGCGTCGCTTTCTGTCCATGGGGCTGGGAGCCCGGTTAGTTTCATGTTTGCCTAGGGAGGGACTAGTGAAACCCCGACCTGTGTAAATTGATTCACCTACGGAGGTTGTGACACAGTTTCCAGGCTGTCCCGACTAATAAACATCGCGCTTGTCGGCACTTTGAGCCCCCAGCTGCACAGACACAATGCTGCCACAGGGTAACTGCCTTCAACGCCCAGCTAGGGAGAACCTCGGTAAGGGAAGATGGGAGTGAAGTGGACCACTATCTTAAAGCGTCAGGGAAAAGAGGAAAGACAGCCGTTCGGCCCATAGGTTCTAAGTTTCTGCCCAGAGGTTAGTATGATTGTTTAGGGTCTTGACCAGAAGTGAGTTTAATTACAGGTGTCTCCCTGGCACCTCCTGCTCTGCGCAAGTCAATAAAAGCTCAGTTAAGGAGTAAGAGGATGGTGATTAACTAAGGGATAGCGTCCCTATTTACGAGTGGACGAGGAATGAGGTGTTTATCTTCTGCTCCCATCACATCCTTCAAGAGGGTGCCCAAACCTTCCCATGTGGAATGACCATTAGAAGAGCCCCAGGAGGGCCCCCTGAGGGCTCAGACCGGTGTTGGCCGGCAGACAAAGCTGCCCAGGGGAGCGGGAGCAAGCACAAAGGGAGAAAGCTGCTCACCTGGGACACTCGTGCTCTCACCTAGAAACCAAGAGGGACTTGGTTGACCCAGGAGACCCACAGGGGTTAATGTGTAACCTTGGAGCCACCAGAGGAAGCAAAGCAAACACCTAAACCTCTCGGCCTCCGGCTCTCTGACGCCTCAGGTTTCTGGCTTTTCCTCCCTCTCGAAGCACTTTTTCCCTCGCCCCCAACTACAACCCTTCAACTTTCCTAGCCTCGCCTACCGCCTCTTTCTCGCCCCCTATTCCTGACTGGCTATTTGTCGCTCCTCTGTTCCCTCGAGTCTGGCTGGCTAACTCTCCTGTTAAAGTACCACCTCATTTCTTTGGAGGCGGGGCAGGGTGGGGGTGTTGTTAATCCCACACCATGGTGAGTACAGACTGACACCTAGTGGCCATAAGATGCAAGTGCTCCAGGCCACCGGCCTGAAGAGTGAGGGTCACCCTAGCCTCCAGGGAGCCGGGAGAAGAGATCTGGCACAGTCTGAAGGCGGACTGGTACAGTCGCTCGGCCCCAGGAGCCCGAAAGCGTTCTGGGAAGAGGGGCGGTGATGGGTTAATCAACAGTTTCTAGGCACCGACTCGAAGCAGGACGCTGTAGAGGCAGGTAAACACGTCCGTCTCTAGCCTGAACAAAGCTAGTGATCCAGTAAAAGAACAGGGACTGGGCAGAGATTGTAGACCAAGGCGGGACTCCGACCCATCCCCAGGTCCCGGGTTTAAAAGTCGTGGGTGTGTCAAGAATGGAGTTGAGGGTGGAGAGAGTGCTCACAATACTCGCTCAGGCGGGGGAGCCGGTGGCGGGGGAAAGTGAGGACGCCGGATAGTGAAGCTAAGAGAGCAAGCCGGCAATTGGGAGGCGCCAGCGAGGGGTGCCTCCGTGGCGGCTGCCGAAGATAGCCCCCGAAGTCCGCGGGAGAGAGGTGGGACGCGGAAGCTACGGCCCCCCTCTCCCAAGCCTCCGGGAAATGGAGCTAGTGCCCTCTGTTCAGCCGGAGGCGCCGGAGGGGCGGAGGCAAGGAGGTGGGGTGGGGCGGGGCGGGGCGGGGGCCCAGGCGTCCAGGGGCGGGGGCAGAGGCCCGCTGGGAGGGGACAGGAGGAGCGTAGGGGCCTAGAGGGCTCCGTGGAGAAACTGTGTGAGGCTGGAGGCCGGCGGGAGAGGCGTCCGGAGTGGACTGGACCGAGGGAACTCCACTCGCCGGACAGCCCGAGGAGGCCGGCTAGAGGGGGGACAGAAGGACGGCAGGGAGGGCCAGCATGCCCCCACTGCTGCACCCCGCCCTGCTGCTGCTCCTGGGCGCCACGCTGACCTTCCGGGCACTCCGGCGCGCGCTCAGTCGCCTACCTCTGCCTGCTCACGTGCGCGCGGACCCCCTGCGCACCTGGCGCTGGCACAACCTACTCGTCTCCTTCACCCATTCCATTGTGTCAGGGATCTGGGCTTTGCTGTGGTGAGTGAAGAACGGGGGAAATGAAGGTGGCCAGGGAATCCCGCGTTACTCTCCCCATCACTCACGGGCGGGCTGAGGCCATGGAGTCTCACATGATTCCCTGTCTGGAAGGCTATCCAATCCTGAGCGGCTGCAGCCCCAGGAGAAGGGGAATCTCACCTGGGAAAGGGAAGACACCTGGGTTTCAGCCAAGCCCCTCCTCGCTTTCCAGCTAATATAGCGAGCTTAGACTCCTGCTGGACTGGCAAGGATAATTGGGGAGCTGGAAGTTCTTTAGGAATGGGGAGATGAACGCCTGCCTTCTTTCTTCCCTCCCTTTCAGTGTATGGCAGACCCCAGAACTGCTAGTAGAGATTGAGACTGCATGGTCGCTTTCTGGCTATCTGCTCGTTTGCCTCTCCGCAGGTAAGTCTTGCCCAATAAGCATTAAGTAGGTGGAGGAACGGGGAGGTGGTTTCTTGTTCAGTCCCCTTCATGACCTCTTCACCCATTCCTCTGCTAGGTTATTTCATCCACGACACTGTGGACATTGTAGTTAGTCGTCAGGCTCGAGCTTCTTGGGAATACCTGGTCCATCACGTCATGGTAAGGAGTGTGGTATAGGCCTGTCTCTGTCAACTTTACCCTCCACCCTCTTAACTCCATTCACACCCTGTGTCACATCTTCCATCATCAGATGCTAATCTAGGCCTTTGGTTCACTAGTTAAGGCTACCATCTCATAACTTCACCTAGTACTGCAGTTAAGTCTATATGGGGATCAAAATTTAATTGCGTTTAACTCACTGTAAACTATATGCCAGAAGGCAAACAGGGTAAGATTTTCCAATCTCAATCTAATAGCCTTTTTTCTTTAATGCTTTTAGAGACGGGAGGGGCAGGGAGGGAAATACCCATGGGTTGCTTCTTGTATATGCACCCACTGAACCCAGGCATGCACCCTGACTGGGAATCTAACTAGTGACCCGTGGGTTTGTAGGCTGGTGCTCAATCCACTGAGCCAGAACAGCCAGGGCTTAATCTGATAGCCTTGATACTCCCACCAACTTCCAGGAAAGCCCTGGTATTTATTTCCTAACCTGTTCTCACCTTTGCCCTCTAGGCCATGGGTGCCTTCTTTTCAGGCATCTTTTGGAGCAGCTTTGTAGGTGGGGGTGTCATAACACTACTGGTAGAGGTCAGCAACATTTTCCTCACCATTCGTATGATGATGAAGATCTGCAATGCCCAGAATCTCCTCCTGTACCGGATCAACAAGTATGTCAACTTGATCATGTATTTTCTCTTCCGGCTGGCCCCTCAGGCCTACCTCACCTATTTCTTCCTGCAGTATGTGGGTCAGGGAAACCAGGGCACCTTCCTGCTGGGTATCCTGCTCATGCTGGACGTCATGATCCTCATCTACTTTTCCCGCCTCCTCCGCTCGGACTTTTGCCCTGAACGTGTGCCTAGCCCACAACACAAAGACAAGTTCTTAACAGAGTGAGGCAGTCTGCAACTTGTGGCAAGGACAGCAAACAGCCAAGGAGAACAGCCTCACTTATAAACAGGTTAAGACTCAAGACCCAAACCTGGGGCATCTGGGCTCTCCACCTTTCAAGCCTGCATCCACTATTGAAAACACTAATGAAAGCACTCCTCTGAAGTCCTTGTCCTTTCTTGGGCAAGGCTGAGGAAAGCAGACAGACCGGTTGGACATGGTAGAAGGGTGTGGGGACAAGGTGCTACCCAGCCCACACTGCCCTGAAATGGATGCTAATGAACTCCAGGTATTGGTTTCATACAAAGCCTCGTCCAGGGATAAAAGAAGGGGTTCTGATTAAACTGCTCGCTTTTTCACTTAATCCTATGACAGAGGCAAGTTCTAGTTGTCCTAGGACAACTAACCCAAGTCTGGATCACAAAAATCTGCTGAGCTCTTGTTGCTGGGATTATAACTGGTATGGTGAAATGAGAGTGCTGAATGTTCCAACGGGGTAGGTGGGCCAGGACTCTTACCCACACTACTGTTTAATGTGTATATACCACAGTATGGTGCCCTCCCAGCCCAACCAGAAATCAACATAAAGAAGCATATAGTATAAAATTTTTATATTTAGAATTAGCCAGCTGGACTCAGTTTAGATGATCCCAATCTGAAAAACAAAAGGGAGCTTTGTTACTGAGGTTGAAATGTAAAGATTAAGCCAGAATTTCATGGTTAAAAAGCATAATGTGGGCACAGGGCAAGGCCTATTAAGGAGAGGGGTGCAGTCAGTCAGTTAAGGCTAATCAGCAAGTCAGGCTTTGGTCGCAAACAGACACATCATTTGCACCCAGGGGGTGGCTGTTAGGGAGTTCATGACAAAGGAAGCTTACTTTGTTGGCAACATCCAAAGCATCATAGTCTGGAGCCAGTCGAACATATGCCTTCTTCTCCCCGTCAGGTCTAGGGTGGAGAAAGCAGCCTTAGTCCCTGCTGCCCACGGTGCCCCTCCCCCCAATCTTCTGGGGCATCAGGGGTTCCTTTGTTCATGTAGTCTTTTCCAAATAGTTATATTTTTCTGTCATTGGCACAGAGGAAGGTTAAGGAAGCCACTAGGCTACAAACAGTTAATGCCCTTTTTTGGGAAACACCACAGGATAATCCAGGTAATCAGACATAATTTTCTCATACTCTAGGGCCTGCCTCTGTCTAGAGGTAGGAATCAAGAAAATGAGCACCAACCCCATAAGAGGCGTCAAACTCATTTCCACCAGGGGCCACATCCACCTTGTAGTTGCCTTCAAAGGGCCAATGTAATTTTAAGCCTGTATAATATAAATGTAACTACTCCATAACAGTTAAGTGAGAGCTTGGCGCTGCCATGCGGTAGAAACAAGGTGGAGGGCCAGATTCAGCCCACAGGCCTTGTGTTTGCCACCTGTACCATAAGTCAAATCCTAGAGGCAGGGGAGCTGCTGATGCCTCAATAGTCCACAGTCCATACAAAGGACTGTAATTACAGCAGGGGCTGCTCATTTCTCAAGGCTTGCACACTCTGAAACCTACTCTGACCCCAAAAGCAGCATCAAGGAATTTTAAACAATTTCATGCCATTCAGGTTTCCTGGCTTCTGAGGCCCCAGTGTTCTCCTCAGTCCTTGGGGCCCCACTCACCTGATCAGGGTGTTGACCTTGGCCACATCAATATCATACAGCTTCTTCACAGCCTGTTTGATCTGGTGCTTGTTGGCTTTGACATCCACAATGAACACAAGTGTATTGTTGTCTTCTATCTTCTTCATGGCTGACTCAGTAGTCAGGGGGAACTTGATGATGGCATAGTGGTCAAGCCTGGGGGAGGTAAAATGGGGTCACCTGGCCTGAACCCAGTAAAAGAAAGGATGGGACCTCTTTTGAAGCCCAGGTGCATCAGACAATGAGTAGCAATCATTTTTGTCAGACTTTGGTCGCCAAACAGTGTCATCATCTGCAACCTGAAACCTAGGGACCTGGAGCCTCAGCCGGGGAAGAGAACCACGTACACTCTATTTCACTTGAAGGGCTTTCATCCTTTTTAAGTAATTAAAGAATCATCTTGAGCCCCAAACCCCTCATTCTTTATTTGACCTCACCATTTCTTTCTCCTTTTAAAAAAATTTCCTTTTTATTGTTTTAAAATTTTATTTATTTTTAGAGAGGAAAGGGGAGAGAAACATCAACATGTGGTTGCCTCTAACACACCCCTTGCTGGGGACCTGGCCCACCACCCAGGATGTGCCCTGACTGGGAACTGGGCCAGTGATCCCCTGGTTCACAGGATGGAGGTCAATCCACTGAGCCATGCCACCCAGAGCTTTTTTTTTTTTTAATCTTCGACTTCAACATTTCTGAAGGGCGAATTTGTGGATAAAACAGATTTGAGAAGTTAAAACTGAAGAGTACAAAGCTACACTGCAACATCTTGAAACCCAGGCTAGAGTTCCAAAGAATGTTGCTGCTTCACTATGAGGCCGTTTCCACCCACTTTGGTAGCTCAAAGACCATCAATTCTTCTTTTTTTTAACCCCCCACAATTGTTGCTCAAGTAGCTTTCTGCCTGGACCATCAATTCTTGAGAGCAACTTTTTATTTACAGCTCAGGTTAAACTTACAGTGGCTTGAGCACAACTACAAGAGTTTCCCTCCCCTGAAGTTCAGAGAGAAGAAACACTCTATTCACATGGACGCTACCTTCTCATTTTGAAGCTGGAAGTCAGGTCTCAACCTCTTATTACACCAAATGCTAAGTCCAAAAGGAGGTAAAAAGACTGTCAAATGCTTGCTTTCTTCCACAGAGGGACTCAACCCACTCTATTCTGCCACTGTATCTTGTCTAATCTGTGGTTCCTAAGGTCAATTATTAACAGCAGCACGACATCAAAATACTAAGTATCCCAACCTTTTGTGCAATTTCCTAACCATGACCCAAGTGTAAAAACTTGAGAGTGAATGAAAAGGAAGTTTCCATATGCTATTGCAGGCCTTCACTGTCCAGTCCAGATGAATAAATCTCCTTTATCAACCTAGATCATCCCATGTTGCCACCTTCAACCACCACTCCCTGCAGGAGGGTGCTATGAGGAATGAACTAAACCTGAAGCCCTACAACAGAGCACATCTAAGTCCTACTTCGTACTTCCACGAAGGTGGACCCTAACATATAAAGTGATAATTAACCCAACAATTAACCCTGGCACTAACTATGGGTTGTTTTAAATAATTCTTGCCAATAGTGAGAACAGTCTCTTCTTGTTCTTAAATAAGGCATTAACAATCTTCTCACAACCCCATTAGGGAAACATGTTAAGTACCACATGTTTTTGAGAAGCCAAGCTCTAGGTTTGGTAACCTGCACAGCCACCTGACTCACTTCTCCTACCTCTGTTAACTTCCTAAACTTTCTCCTATAAAGGGGAAGGGGGCGGAGGGCAGTACTGACTTGTTTCTCCTGGGGGCGCTCTTCCGAGGATATTTAGGCTGCCTTCGGAGCCGCAGTGTCTTAGGCCTCCTGAAGGTGGGTGACGTGCGGATCTTCTTCTTTTTGTGGCTGTGGACGCCTTTTAGCACTGCTTTCTTTGCCTTCAAAGCCTTTGCCTTGGCTTCGGCTTTGGGAGGGGCAGGGGCTGAGAAAAGAAAAGAAAATGTGGAAGCGGGTTTCAGAAATCGATCACTTCTGGCCTGAAGACCGGTAGTGGGCGCCCCAGGCTACACGCGCATCAGTGGTTCCTTTGAAGACATCACAAGTCTCAGGTTAAACATTTTCCATCATATGCACGGTAATGGGGCACACTTGGAGGAACTTCAGGTGTCCGAAGCAGAAAAAAGTAACTAGCAACGCTTGATACTTGCCAGGATGCGTGCGAGTAGTTTTATACAGACTATCGCACAGCCACCCTGGAAGATTACATAGCCATCTGCAATGAAAGTGGTAAGTTAAAAAAAAAAAAGGAAAAAAGTGAAGTTAAGGGAACTGATTCCTTACAAGCCTGGAGACATGAAACTGTGATCTGTGGATGCGTGTAGTTCCCAAGTCCACTGTCTGGCTGTCAGCTTCCCTCCCCTCACCCTTCAACCGGAGCCCAGCCCATGCGGTTGGGCCCACGCGCACGGCAGCCTGGCCGAAACGGGAGGAACAGCTCCTGAGCTGACACCTAAGTCTTAGCTTAGCCACTGTCCTTTCCTTTCGTTTGCTCTGTAGAGATTCCAGGCCAGCCAGACATGTTCCCCCCTAAACCCCAGCACACACCTTCCTTCTTCGCTTTGGGCGCCATCTTCATGAAAAGGGTTTCCTAAACTCGTTCCCACGGGCTTATAGAGCCAAGTCTCACCGAAGGCTCGCGATGCCTTTCTACTTAAAGCTGATTGGGTGACCTGTAGCGCGGTGTCCGCTGGGAATAGTAGTTTGGTTTAATTGCCTCGAGAGAGGGACTAAGCATGCGCCACACCTCCCCTGGTAAGACCGTAGAGCTTCTTGGGGGTTGTAGTTTTTTTGAGACGTGTTTATCTGCTGCCGCGAATAAGCCGGCTGCTACTCGCATGTGGTCCTGAGCGTTTCTCATCTTGAGCAACTTCAGAGAAAAGGACTGCAGTTCCAGGAGGCAGTAACACTGCAAGCTGTAATAGATATAGTTAGATAGACTCAGTGAGAGTGAAGCAAAGTTCTAGAACGTTAGAGCAGAATTTGTCAGGCCCAACTATTTCAAGTAACATTTGTGGAAATTGAGGTCCTGAGATTGAGACGTGACTTATCAGTAAGTGTGATTTTGTGGCAGAAAAAAATCCAGTCAGGCAGAGGTGAGGAGCGAAGTACTAGAGGAGGTGGGAGGTGGCCACATCTCCCCTCTTTACGTACGTCGGATTTCATATGCTTTTTCGACAATACTCTTGAAAAACTACCAATATTCCAAACACTCAGCGCACAGATTTCTCCAGCATTTGCTAGCTTTTCTTGCAGCTTTTCCATTCACAGTCCCTTCCCTTTAAGTAGTCTTGCCTTCCCTGCCCCGGTCATCTTTGCATCCTCAAATTCAGTTCCGGACACACAGCAAAGTTTTGTAAGGCTCTAGTTTGCTTCTCAGAGGGCAGGTGTCTGCAATGCCTCCACCCCTCCCTTTTTGTCTTCTTCCTCGCCTCTTGGAACCTGCTTTCCCCTTTAACGGTGAGATTTGTGTTGTGCTATCCCGACCCTATCCTCAAGAACTGCAAAATGGAGAAGTCCTTGGGAAGGTTCCGAAGGGGTCATAGAGAAGAAGGCCAGGACCAGAGGAGAGTCCCCGCGCTGCAGAGCAGTGACTTCCCCCAAGGGCGGAGTTCCCGATCCATCTAGCCCTCCTTTATCCTCCCATCGAGGGAGGAGGCTTGGTCTTCAGCCTGCCCACCCCTCAATTTACTCGGTAGCCTTCGAGGAAAAGACGCCAGACCTCGGACGTCTCTCTCCACGGGTGGGCATCCAGCTCTGCCTCTGGCACCCCCTCTATGCTACCCGCCCCCCAACTCCCAGGGCTGAGGGCGGCGAGCGGGGGCAGACTCGATGAGTCACGTCCTGGGCCTGGAGTTGAGGAGGGAAGCGCCGCCTCTCCTTGGGCCCCTTCTCTCCCCCTTACCCCTCCCCGCCGGTCCTGGGCGCAGCCAGATGCTGCGCAGCAGTCACCGATTCCCCATCACCACCGGTTCGGCTGGGTAAGGGTCCCCGTGGACACGCAGCCCCGCAGAGAGGTGCAGGGCAGAGCAACCCGGGGATCCCTCTCTGGGCAAGTTCCAGCCTGGGTGGGGGCGGTCCTGGTCCCCATGAGGCGTCTGTCGGGGGAGCCAAGGGCAGCGCAGGGAGGAGGAGAGGATGGGGAGTCCGGGGCGGGTTGCGAGACCGGGAGCTGCCGGGAGAGGGGCAGGGGGCGGCCCTTCTCCAGGAATTTCCGGGGATCATGTTACAGCGCTCGCAGAGGGAGAGCCGAGTGGGACGCGGGGCCCCGCGCCGGCTGGGCCCTTCGCCCCCTCCTCCAGCGGCTGGCGGCCTCGCAGTGCCGTCCCTGCCCACACTGACCCCGTGTGGCCGGGCCGCTCCCGCGCCCTTGGACCGCTCTGTTACGGCGGGGCCGCCTCAACCCCGACTTGTCGTCGGGTCTCCGCGGCCTCGAGTTACTGTAGGAACTATCCGGCCCCGAGTTATTGTGGGGTCTGCGCGGGCCCGGGATCCCCGGGACGGGACTCCCAGTCCCCATTTGGCGGCCGAGGGGTCTCCCGGCCCCCGAGTCGTCTTCGGGACGGCCCGGCCCCGGGGGACTGTGGGTTCACCCCAGCCCCGGGTGACTGTCTCATCTCCGTGGCCCTCGGTGATCGTAGCATCCCCGAGGCCGCGGGCCCCCGTAGGCTCCCCGTGTCCCCGAGTTATAGTCGGGACTCCTCGGTCTCGGGTGATTGTCAGGTCCCCACGGGCCCGGGTCGCTGGGGCGGATCAGTTCTCCGCGCCTTCTGAGGGCGCCCGACAAGGCCACAGGCGAGATGAACATTCTGGCGCCGGTGCGGAGGGACCGCGTCCTGGCGGAGCTGCCCCAGGTAGGCAAAAGGGCCACGTCGGGCTTCTGGCTGCGGTGGCGTGTGGGCGGGGAGGAGGCGGCACCAGGCCAGTTGGAGGCTTGGGCCCAGCCCTGCCTCCCAGCTAGGCCTGCTGCTTGTGGGTGGTCCCCTCCCCACCCCCAGCCCCAGGCTGCTTGGCTGCCAGTAGTGGGTGAGTCTCCGTTCGCTTCTGTCCCTTTCAGTACCTGAGGAAGGAAGCAGCTTTGCACGTGCGCAAAGACTTCCATCCCCGGGTCACCTGCGCTTGCCAGGAGCACCGGACAGGCACCGTGGGGTGAGTTGTCTGCACCCAAAACAAAGAAAGTAAGTCCCAGGAAACTGTGGTCAAGGCAGTGGTAACGTCCACTCCCTGGGGGCTCGCTCCATTGAACCTTCTGCCTACCAGCTACGTGGTTATTCCCCCTTTTTATGACCCTGCATCTACCCCTTTATTTTCAGCAAGGTTATGGTGAGTCCAATGAGAGGGGGGTGGCCGAAAGGTGGCAGTTCCATTTCTGACAGAGAAGGATGTGGTCCCCAGCTCAGCTTCCCACGTACCATCCGTTTGAGGGCGGGAACTGTGTCTACATCTATAAGTCCAAGTGTGGGTAAAAAGGGAATACTAGGAACGGTTGCCACTATTAGTGTAGGGTTTGCTCTGTGCCAGGCACTGTGTTGGATACTGTTACCGCCTTTTATTACATGGAAACCACATCACATTTAAGATGTACCCTGGTTTCAGAGATGTTAAAATGTACGTGTGTGTGGGAGGTATTTTTCACAATGTAGAACATTTATCTCATTTTAACCTTCTCAACGCCCCAATAAAATATATTCTAAATATTCACATAAATGTTGAAATTGAGACAGAGAGGCTAGGTAATTTGTCCTAAGTCACACAGCTAGTAAGTGAGAGCTGGAATTCAAATTCATGTCTCTCTTATATTGAAGCACAAAACACTTCTGGCCAGCACATCCGTCCAGGAAAGCTGCCCAGGAGGCCTGGTGTCTCTGGGAACTGCAGCCTGGATGCAATTACCTTTGTAGACTTACTAGGGAATCTTGGGACTCCCTAGAGTGAAACAACTAATGCCCACTCCTGCCTCCTCTTGTGTCCAGCAGATTTAAAATCTCCAAGGTCATTGTGGTGGGGGACCTGTCAGTGGGGAAGACTTGTCTCATTAATAGGTAAGAGGGTGCTGGACTGAGCTGGGTTGGGCTGGGGAGGGGAGGGCCAGGCCTAACCAGATCAGCTGGGCTCAGGGCCAGAGCATCTGGTGCCTCCTCAGGTTCTGCAAAGACACTTTTGATAAGAATTACAAGGCCACCATTGGAGTGGACTTTGAGATGGAACGATTTGAGGTGTTGGGTGTTCCCTTCAGTCTGCAGCTGTAAGTGCTTCCTCTACCTCTTCCAGCCATTTCTTCCTCTAGCATCTACCTCCTACCCGTTCCTACCCCCATGCCTCTGTTTCACCCCTTCTTCCTCCCAGCTGGGATACTGCTGGGCAGGAGAGATTCAAATGCATTGCATCAACCTACTACCGAGGAGCTCAAGGTAAGAGGCTAGGTGAAGTGGGGTAGGTGGTGGGTGCACCTGGCTTCTAATTGTGGACTGAGAGGATTGTGGAAATGAGCCAAAAGTGTCTCCCCGTCAGCCTGGGACTGTTTCTGCCACTCTTTCAGCCATCATCATTGTCTTCAGTCTGAATGATGTGGCCTCCCTGGAACATACCAGGTACATGGGGATGCTGAAATATATTGGGGCTCTGGGAAGAGCGGGTTCAGAAAAGAGGGGTGCTCAAGGTGTGGTGGGGAAGGAAAGACTGTGACTAGGAGCAGAGGGAGGATAATTGGACATGTGAGTGTCAGCGGAAGGGGCCTGCCCAGCTCATGTCTTGCTGTCCGCCATCTGTGGCAGGCAGTGGCTAGCTGATGCACTCAAGGAGAACGACCCTTCCAGTGCGCTTCTCTTCCTCGTGGGTTCCAAGAAGGACCTGAGTGTGAGTGTGCCCATGGGGGGGCTCCCCAGCATGGTGTGAGAACCCTCCCACGTCTAACTCTGACTTCCTTATTTTAATTTTACTATTTATTTACTTATTTATTTTTGTCCTCCAGGGACATGCTTATTGATTTGAGAGGGAGGGGAAGGAATGGAGAGAAACATCGACTGGTTGCCTCTCGTAGGCACCCCAACTGGGGATCGAACCTGCAACTTAGTGTACCCTGACCAGGCGACCCTTCAACCAATGGAGCCACACTGGCCAGGGCTTTTTTTTTTTCCCTCAATTTAACAGAAAAAAATTTTTTTAATTGATTGATTTTAAAAAGAGAGGAAGGGAGAGAGAGAGAAACATCAATTTGTTCCACTTATTTGTGTACCCATTGGTTGATTCTTGTATATGCCCTACAACCAAGGTCATCAAAGACCTTGGTGAGACGACGCTCTAATCAACTGAGCTCCCTGCCAGGGCTGACTCTGCCTTCCCTTCAGACTCCTGCTCAGTATGTGCTAATGGAGAGAGACGCACTCAAGGTGGCCCAAGAGATGAAGGCTGAGTACTGGGCAGTCTCATCTCTCACTGGTAAGAGGCTTCAGGCCCTCTGCTGTGGCATTCCTGCCTGCCTTGCCTCTCACTCCTGCAACTCCAGCTGTGCCCAATGACCCCAGGCCTAGAGCTGCCCCTGAGCACCTATCTGTTCCCTGTGTCAGGTGAAAATGTCCGGGAATTCTTTTTCCGTGTGGCAGCGCTGACCTTTGAGGCCAACGTGCTGGCTGAGCTGGAGAAATCGGGGGCCCGGAGCATTGGGGATGTTGTCCGTGAGTGCCCTCCTGCATGCGGGTGACAGAGAGCACGGGGAACCTCCAGTCCCTGCTTCACATATTCCCCACTCTTCTGCAGGCATCAACAATGATGACAACAACCTGTACCTAACTGCCAGCAAGAAGAAGCCTGCATGTTGCTTTTGAGGGATGAGGGGTTGCTCAGCCCTGGGGCACTGTGCCGCCTTGACTCCCCCAGACCTCTACCCCTGGACATTTGCACTGACTGTTATTACAGACCAAAGAGCTGTCCCTTGGTGGCGGTATCCCCAGAGGGGTAGTTGGGACCATGCTAGTCACTTCCTGCCCCTAGGCACTATACCAAAGACTGGATGCCCCCTTCCTCCCCGGGATCTGCAGGGTGCCCAGGAGTGGAGAGATGGTCCCTGCTGTTTATGCTCCACCTGCTGGGCCCTTTGGGTATGAGGGTGCTTAATGGTCCCAGCCTTACACCGTGCCTTATGCATTAAATTCTCTGTTATTAGCAGTTTGGGGGTTGGAGTCCTTTGTTGGGGATGAGGGATATGGAATGGGCAGGGCTGCAGGGCAATCTCGGAACCGGATCGCCTCCGGATCGGATTCTCCCGCAGGGATGCTGGCCATCCCGGCCCTGGGCAGGCTTCAGGCAAGCTGGGCGCTTAGGGACCAGGTTTGGGGGGCTGCACTCTCTTTGGGCAAGATCTGAATTGCTGGCTTTGAGAGCCCTTTCCTTTGCTCCCTTCCTCCCAAATGTGTCCTACTCGGTGCTTATAGCCAAATTTCTATCATTGGATAATATTTTATTTTTTTAGCCTCTTCTCACCTTCCCTTTAACAGATAGTTGTCTGAGAGGAACAACAGAAGTGATTGGGTTTTGGATACCTTTGGCCCAGGGAGGGTAGGGCCTGGGCTCTTATTCAGAAGATATCCTATCTAACATCTAGCTATATTAGGGGTATAAACATAACGTTATGAGTGGTGTCTTTTTACAGTTTAAAACACGATGAAAATAAATTGAATAAAAATTGCCATGTGTATTTTTACCTCTTCAAGAAGAGAGAGGTATTCTAAGGAGGACCTGCGCTTGAATCCTCACTGTCCCTCCTGAGTCACTCAGGCAAATCACTTATCCCGTGTGCCTCAGTTTTCTATTCTGTGAAATGAGGCTAATAATGCTGATGAGATTTCATGGGTTAAATAAGAAAGCACCAACATACATAGGAAGGGCTCAAAAACCTTAACTATTATAACCCTTTTCTTAAAAAATTTAGTTATTTACTTTTAGGGAGAGAAACCAATGTGGGTACGTCCATTGGTTGCCTCTCCCGTGCCATCAGCTAGAGAGCTGGCCTGCAACCCAGGCATGTCCCCTGATGGGGAATCAAACCAACGACCTTCAGTTTGCAGGCCAGTGCTCAATCCACTGAGCCACACCAGCCAGGGCTTATAACTCTCTACAGGACGAGTGACCAAGAACCTGGCTCATTGTTGACATCTGACCCAGAGCTATACAAGTAGATTGGCTGGAGCACCTCAGGAGTCTGGCCCAGCAATGGAGGGACACGTGTAGCCTGGCATCATCCTGGGAGGCCGTGGAGTATCAAGATTAGAACACAGATCCTGGCTCCCAGTCAGCAAGTGCTCTGTCCGTTCTATGCCTGCTCTCATTCTCTGCCCGCTCTCCTGCTCTGGGAGGGTTGGTTTTCTGCACACTCCCCTTTGCCTGTTTTCCCCTCCCCTGCTGTTCCTGGAGCTGGAGGTTTTGGGCAGTGACCCTACCCATGCAGGTTGCTGGGTCTGGAGGAAAGTGGAGGGTATCATGCAGAGCAGCAGCAGGAGAGGCCCTTGGTTTCTCTGGAGAAACCAGAGTTTAAATACCATCTTTTCCTTTTCATCCTTTGAGGCATATCTTGGCTTTGGAGCCTGATGCCAAGAGAAATTGAGGGGCGTGATGTGGGAATGTTGGTTATGCGGCTCTAACATTTTTTCACACTCTCCTGGAATTTATTGTTTGTTTCTTTATCTTGGCTCCCACATGGGACAGCTCATCACCCCTTGCCTTGCCTTGCCTTGCGCAGAGCCTCTGTGTGTGTGTGTGTGTGTGTGTGTGTGTGTAGTTGGCACCACGGCACTGCTGTGGAGTGTTTGTGCTGAGAAAAGTGTGGGGAGCAGGGGTATGGTTCTTTGTTCGGGTAGCCTCTGTGAGGGGCGTGTGCACATTGTATTAGGCTGTGTGGCGAGTAGATATTTTTTTAGGTACATTACGTGTGTGATACAAGCATGTGCAATGTGTATGCTATACTTAAGGTGCGAGGGGTGTACAGTGCGAGGTATTAACGTAGTGGTTCCTGCTCCCAGCACTGGACAAACCTATGGAGACACATAAATGTGCGTGAATGAAATAAGAAAGCACAAACACATAGAAGAACTCAAAAATTTTAACTGTTACAACTTTTGGGAAAAAGTGAGCAAGAGCAAGCTCTATGTTAACATCTTTATTGCGCAGCATTTCTCTGGATCAGGGCGCCCCATCCGAGCTAGAAGGGAACTCTGCTAAGAGGCTCTGGGGTTGGGCGCCACAGGGCGGCTGAGAATGCGCAAGCCCTCATCAGATGAGCCTGCAGGCCGAGAGAGCGTTTGAGCCTGGCCTCCCAGGGCCGGAGGAACCTCAGAAAAGCCGGGATGGGTGGGTGGTGTGGTTGGAAGCGGTCTCTTCCCATCCCGTAGAGAGGTACTATTGTAGCTTGGGGGCGGAGCTGAGGGCCGCGGCAGGGTTCGGAAGGGATTGGGAGGGGCCAGGAGCAGATGGCAGTGTCAGGTTGAGAGAATGGATGGGGCGGGGCTAAGAACAGGGCTAGGGGCGGGGCCGAAGTGGGGGTGGGGTTAAGAGCTGGGGGTAGGTCTGGAGAGGAACTAGGGATGGGTCTGAGGGCTGGTCCTGAGCGGCCGAGCTAAGGTTAAGGCCTGAGATAAAGGTGAGGCACTAAGGTTAAAGTGGGACAAAGAGGGAAGGACTTGGAAGGACCTGGGGTGCCTTGGAAGAAGAGCTCGGCTGAAGCTTAGACTTAGGCTGAGAAGACAACACAACCTAGAACGGGGGGAGGGGGAAGGTAGGTGGAGAGGTTGGGCAAGCATGAGGCTTTGTTGAGGGCTGGACGGGAGCGAGCTGAGATTGGGGTTTACGGTTGGCTCGGCCAAGCTCAGGTTCAGGGTTGGACTTCTGTGAGGAAGAGTCTTGTAGAGAGGAAAAGCTGGGCTGAGAGCTATGTGGGTCAGGACGAGAATGACGATTGAAAGGTGGACTAAGGAAAAGAGTGAGGACAATGCCAACATCTGGGATGAGAGCAGCAGTGGTAAGGAGAGAGCGGGGCAGATTAGGGGAGGGCTTCAAGCTGAGACCTGGGCACAGGGTCGGGGCGGCGGGGCGGGGGCTAGTTTGAGGACCCAAGGAGGCTGTGGAACCAGCCAACCCGACAAAGGAGGCGGAGCCAAGGGCTAGGATGAGGTGGAGTTAGAGCCTGAGGGCGGGCTCATGTGGAGCCACGGACCAATGATTCAGGACTGTGGTCCTGAGTCCCTGGAGAATAACCTCGGGGTTTGGCTGGGGCCTTCTGGCTGGAGTGCGAGCTGTAACTCCTCTTTGCACGGCTGGGAGGCGTTGCTGTGCAGTAGCCCGAGAAGGGCTGGGCCTGGCTGGAGCCCATGGTCCAGCGTCCAACCTGCCGCCGGGGCTTGGGCGGAAAGTTCTATTGACTCTGAGAGCAAAAAGGAGTCTGCAGGTTCCACGCGTGACATCACAATCGCCTTCAGATGTGGGCGGGGCCAGGGCTGCATTTCCAAGGAGACCGTGCACACTTCCCCTGCTTTGCTCCCTCCTCTTCCCTCCTTCCCTTCCTGGTTTTTTCCTCCCTTCCTTTCTCCCTTCCACCTTCCTTCCCTCCTTCCCCTATTCAGCTGCTCTGGTGTCCAACCTGGAACCCCACCGTCTGTGCTGCAAGGGCGGGGAAGCTCCTCCGCCCTCAGGACTGGGAGGATTCTGTACAAATGAGCATCACCTGTGAGTTTCGAGTTAGGACCCTGTACCCCAATTTCTCCTGCGGAGAAAGAGACCACAAGCCTCCCTCTTCCTTTCAAGCTACACAGTCGCCCCATCCCACCACGTGTCTGTACACTTCTGCCGCTGGAGCTCTGGACTGATTCAGTGACGCTCTCTGTTCTGTCCATGAAACTAGAAAGCAGGTTGCCTTCCTCAGACCCAAGGAGTTACTAAATCCCACTCCTTGGCAAACAGCTCTGATTGTCTTCTTGGGGCTTGGCGGAAGTTAGGGGACCCTGCATACAGGCCTTTTCCATGGTGACTCCGGGGAGAACAAGGGAAGTGGAGTCAGACAAAGCAGAGTTTGAGTCCTGGCTCAGGGCCCTCTGGCCTGACCTTAGGTCCAGGCTGTAGGGGAGGCTGAGACTCAGGACTGGGTAAAGCGAGAGGATGGGGAATTGGCTGTGTTAGGGCTGAGCAGGTGTAGTAGGAAGTGACATCTGGCAGCACAGGTTTTGGATTGGAGTCCCAAACCAACAGCTGAAAGAGCACAGATTATTGAGCCAGGAAGACTGGGTTTGAATCTTACTCTGCCATCTATTAACTTGGGTCTTTGGACAACTTCCGTATTCTGAATGTGTCCGCATTCACAGAATGGGCTGTGGCGAGAGCATCTAGAATCAAAGGCATGTTTTAAAAGCCTGGCACAGTGCCTGACACTGTGAAGATGCACACCCTGGGTCGTCTCTTTCCCAAAAACATCCTCCAGGTTTGAACCCTGGGCAGAATTTCCACTGCCATAGCTTCCTTTGGCTCTGATAGAGGGTTTATCCTATTCTACTCATGCACTTATTCCAGTGAATAAATGCATGAGTAGAATAGAAAAGAATAGAATAGAGTAGAATAGGCCCCCGGTGAAAATGAGTTTGACACCCCTGATGTATTCTATCAACCAACATTTACCAAGTACTTTCCATGTCCCAGGATCTGTAAAACAAATGAACTACGGGCCTTGTTCTCAAGATGCTATAAACACATGAGGAACCCTAGCAGGGTAAAGGGGAACAAGATATGTGTGACTAATAGTACTTGGATATCATTGTTCTTTCCAAGATGAGATCTTTCCAAGATCTTTCTCATCTTTCCAAGATATTTCTGGGGAGTGGAAGGCAGGAGAGAAGGAATGGAGAAGGAGACGGATGAGTGGGAGGAACTGATAACTGAGAAGGAAACCAGGGCCTGGATTCGGGAGTGGGGGCATGATGAGGAGTTACGTCACGATGAGGTAGTAGAATGCTGTTAAAGAAGAGGAACACGGTGGACCAGTTGGCGTTCTGGAAAACTGTTTGGCTGCACTGTGACAACTGGATGAGGGAAGTGAGACAGAGGCAGGAAGGCCAGGCAGGAGGCTACTGCAGTGTCTTGGTCAGAGATGACGAGAGTGTGAACCAAGCCAGAGGCAGAAAAGGGAGCAGATGAGCAGGACGAGACTCGGTCGTTAAGCTGGTGTAGGGATGAGGGAAAGGAGTTTCAGCTGCGGTGGCTGCTGCTCTCTGAAATGGAAGAGACAAGGGGGGGCGGGTCATGGAGCGTGGGGAGAAGATGGCAGGCTCGTGTGGGACCTGTTGGTCTAGGGTGTCTGGGGATGTCGGAGAGGATATGGGCCCTGTGCTCAGGAAAGCAGTCTGGACTGGGGACCTGCCCAGATGCACGTCATTGGCGGACGCTGTAACCATGGACTTGGATGACATTAGCCGAGACAATCTTGTACTCTGAGAAGCAAAGCCAAGCCAGAGCCCTGGTAATCATCACCTTAAGGTGTGCAGCCGAGGAGTTAAGAAAGAACTAAAGAGCTAGTCAGAGAAGAGAGGGACGAGAGAGGTCTGCAAGCAAGCCAAAGAAGCAGAGTGTACAGAAGAGAGAGACCGACTGGTTAACGGGGAGATAAGATGAAAAGGAGGCCACTGGGTCTGGCTATTGGGAAACTGTGGGCAGCCTTGGCCTGGGCTGGTTGGACAGGGACGGGACGGCTGCCATGGGTAGGTGACTGGAACGGAGAGAGGGGAGGTTCGAGCTCACTGAAGGTGGCGACCGGGCCTCCTGACTGGGGTCTAGTGCAGAAGCCATTCAGCATGTCTGTTAAATGAGTGAATAGACTTGGATTGCAAAGGAAGATGGAGGGATATGCAGTGGTAGAGGCAGGAACAGGGTTCATAGATTGTTTTGTTGAAAGGTGTTCACAGCCTGTAAGGAAAAAAACAACCATTAAAGAAGGAGAGAGTGAGAATTCTGGCTGGGACCTAGAGCTCAGGTGCCTTGGGCAGGAGGAAGGGGGGATGCTCCCCCAGGTTGGGGGCGAGTTGACGGGGTGGGAGCAGCCACAGGGAAGGCTGGTTCAGTGATCTACTGAGAGGAGCAGCAGCAGGACAGGAGTTTCCAGGGATAGGAGTTTCCAGGGAAAGTGCTTGATGCTTCATTCAAACGTTTTTGAGTCTTCACTATTCTGTGGAAAACGGGAGCTGACCAGGGAGCTGTAGGAAGATGACCAAGTGCCAGTGAAGGCCCAGCTGCAGTCCCCAAGCAGTCAGCTTCCCCTCCTTAAGCAGAACTCAGTTCTGCTTAGGATAAAGCTAATCATGGGAGGAAAAGGAAAATGGCAGACTCCACCCTGTGGTGGTTGACGCAGCTGCTGTCCCAGCTGGAGTTCTGCTGGGTCAACTGCTGATTCAGCTCTACACACTCCATGACAATTCCCCGATCTGTCCTCTCTTGCCTAGACTGGCTCAGTCCTGCTATTTCTCCAGATTCAGCTCCTATTATGCTTCTTCCCAGGAAGACTTTCCTAATCTTACCCTAACCCTCACCCCCACTGTCTCAGTAGGTGCTCTTGCTGTCTGCTCCCCCTGGCCCCCCCCCCCGTCCCCGTCCCCCTGCACGTGTTCCGCACCACACTACTGTCACAAACTGTTCCGCACAAACTGCGTCCCCTCTGCAACCCTCGCCCAGCCCCTTGAGAGTTGGGACTTATTTTTTTAACCTCGGCATCTTGGACATGGCTGGGACCTGACACCCAGAGAGTCTCAGAAAATGTTTGATGAGTTAAAGGCCTGGGGAAGGGGCGCTGCTGCTGCCACTCTGTACTCTCTCAGATGTGAACAGGTTACCCAGCTGGGAAAGAGGACATCTGCTGGCTGCTGTGGCGTCCAGCACTGACACATCTACCTTCTCCTCTGAAGGTGGGTCCAGGGGAAATCTCTGGCCCCAGGGGTCCCCACCACCCCTGACATGGGAAAGCTGACACTTGGTGGTAGGCAGGAGGGAGCGTTTGGTCCTGAAGGGGTTACCCCACCCCCCCATCCTCACCCCATCACCCATTCATGCCAGAGAGGGCCCCTTTCTGGAGAGCAGTCACCCCTTTGTATAGCACTTTATGGGGCACGGATACCTTTGACATGTGAACTGAGGCATCCCAACAGCCCTGCAAAATAGGTATTACCACCACCCCCATCTTGTGGACAAGACAGGAAATGTGAATAACTGGCCCTCAGTCACCCAGCTAGTGACAGAGCCAACACTTGGACTTGGGCCTACCTGGCTTCAGGTTCAGGACACTTGCCATCACGCTGCCCTTCCCCCGAGTTCAGCAGCGCTGAAGCAAGCGGAGGTGGTGGTGGTATTGCAAGATCCCGCCTCACCTGCTGAAGAAGAAAGGGCACGAGGGGAGAGGAAGCAGAAAGGGAGGCCACCAAGTGGGTCAGGAGTGCATGGAGGACCCTGGGCCCTCACAGCCTGCTAGCAGGGAGGGATGTGGGGCAAGGCTCAAACCCAGCTGCTGTCTACTCGTCCCTCAGGTGCTTCAAGGCCATGTGGACTAACACACCCCCAGCCTGGGTTGTAGGAGTTCTTGCCCCAGTTTCACACCTCGTAGGGGCTGGACCAATCCTCCTGGTCTGTTCAGCGGCAGTGAGCCAGCCCTAGCATCCCATGCCAGGCTGCCAAGGAAGTCACTGGTGCTTGCCCACTTCTTCCTCCCAAAGGGGATGGAGCCAGAGTCCAAAGGGACCTGCAGGAAGGTGCCTTGTCCACTCTGCCCTGGTGTGTGAAGTCCTGGGCACGTGGAATCACTTCGCAGGCTTACCTTTTAGCGGGTGGGCAGAAGGGAGACCCACTGATAGACTGGAGCCTTGGGTGGGGTCAGAGGGGAGGCGGTGCGGGTAGAGGCTGGGGGACTCCAGTGTGTGTCCGGGATTTGCATTCAGTTGAGGAAAAGATGTAGGAACCTTTCTCCAGGGCTCCCCCCTAGGCCCAAACTCCCATTCCAGCAGCTTCTCCCCTGTGTCCTGGGAAAGGAGACACAGTATCTGTGCAGCCCACAAGGGGTAGAAGGGCTCAGGCTGGGGTGGGTTGTTCAAGTCCATGGCTCTAAGGACTGGAGAGAATGGAAGAGTGGGAATTTGATGATTAAATAGCAGGGAAAGAATCAAGAATGAGTGTGGGAAAGGGGAGAGAAGTGAGGAAGGTGTCTGGAGACAAGGGACTTGAAGAAGAGAGGCGGGAAAAACAAAGGACCAGAGTCCAAAGAAGCATCCAGGAGCATGCCGTTTGGTAGGCTGGGCCTCAGCTGCCCTCCAGGTAGGAGGCCTTGGGGCCAGAATCTCAGGGCTCAGATGCAGGCCTCGTGGGGACTAAGGATGCTGTTACTGGCTCTAATCACTGGGGACTCTGAAGTGGCATTCTACAATCTGCCATGGTAAAAGGACCATCCCCTACCAGACACCCTGAGAAGTGAGGTAGCAAACTCCCAGCAGCTGGGCGAAGGCAAGCAAGAGTCAGTGGAGGGCCCCAGTGGGGCAGGCTCCCGTGGGAGGCAGGGGAGGGCAGGAAAAGAAGCAGGTGTCGCAGGACAGCAAAGGAGATTTATGTGGTGAGGACCTTGGTGAGACATTTTCCTGTGAGCTTGCAGGGGGCAGCAGATTCCTGCAGAGGACTGGGGAAAGCAGAGTGCTGAGACCTGGAGCTACTACTGGGCTGAATTACTCCCATGAAGTAGAGACAGCTCTGGGGGGTGTGGTGGCAGGTGAATGTGGTGAAGCCTTTAGACTGAGCTGCAGGGAGACCCGCTGATAAGCTGTCGCTGCTGCCACCCCCATGTGACCCAGACTCCTACCCCTCAGGTGAATTCAAGGACATTGACAGGTGCTGCTGGAAACACAAGCAGTGCACAGGGCATCTCATCCACCCCTTCACCTCCGACTATGGTCACTACAAACTGCACCTGCACTCCATCAGCCACTGTGGCTGTGACTGCAGGTAAGGACCCTCCTCCTTGGGAGGCCCACAGGCCAGGAAACTCCCGGGCAGAGCCAGGTCCAAACTTCCACTACGGTTCCCTCCTTCAGCTCTGACCAGGCGTTGCCTGCCCAGCCCTGGCTTTGCAAACCTGGCTCTACTCCAAGAGCAATGGGGAGGAGGTCTTTTTCTCGGCCTGGGCTGAGCCTGAGTTACCACTGGGAAAGCCCACTGTCCTCAGGCTTCTGGCTCTGGGCTCCTGGGGAGTCCTGGAGGCGTGGGAGCCAGGCTGAGTTCCATGTGGCAGGGTGAAGGACTACTCAGAGAAGACAAATAGCAGCAGCTCCCGAGATGTAGGCCCAACCTGTTCCCGAGATGTGGGCTCAACCTGTCTCAACATCATCCAGACCCCTTGCTTCGCAAAGCTCATCCCAGAGGAGGAGTGCGTGGAGCGGTTCTGGTACGGCTGGTGAGTGCTGGCAGGCTGACGGGCTGTGTGGGCCCCAGGCCGTCACTCTCTGCCAACCTTCTCTGTCCCTGCCCTCCTCCCTCCCAGGTGCAAGAGCTACAGGCCCGTCTCTGTGGCAGTGATCCACCATCCCATCCACCACGAGTGTGGGGCAGATGACCTAAATGAAGAAGAGGAAGAGGAGGAAGAAAGCAAGCCTCCCATCCCGATCCAGGTGGGGCCCACCACCACCGCACCCACCGACACAGGCAGAGGAATGGGCACAATCACGGGTACCCCGGACTCAGCAGCTCCCATCACCATCTGGCGCTCTGAGAGTCCCACGGGGAAGTCCCAGGGCAGCAAAATTATCAAGAAGGTCAAGAAGAAAAATGAAAAAGAGAAAAGCGAAGAGGAGATAGACGAGAAGGCAAAGCTGAAGAAAAAAGTCAAGAAAGGCAAGCTGACTAAAAAGAAAAGCCCAGTTAAGTCGGAACCTTCGCCTCCAGACTTGAGCAGATCAGCAAGCCCAAGGGAACTGGCCAGGATGTCAGAGTCCAGCCCCGACAGCAGGGAGGACCTGGAGAGTGAGGACAGTTACACCGACCAAAGGCGGGAGGAGCCCTTCAGCGATGATGTTGTGGAGTCATCACCCAGAAAGAGAGAGAAGAACACAGTCCAGGCCAAGAAAGTTGGAGCGAAGCCCTCTCCAGTCAAGGTCATCAAGAGGAAATCTCCCCCAGCATCAAACCTCGGTTGAGGCCAGGGCGACCGGGGTGAAGAATAAATACGATCAAGCCTGTAGCTGACCCCCTGCTGCCGTTCTCTCTCCCTCCAACTTGGCTACTTCTGTGGGTAGAGGGTGGGCTCTGGGCATAGCTGGAACCAAGGGGCTAGACGGCTGCAGGGGTTTCTAAAGGGCAACCCATCTTTCAAGAGGAAGCCCGTGTGAAGGTAGGTCGGAGGGCAGGGGAAGGGACTGTAACAGCCTCTAACATCCCGGGCCCAGGGCAGGAGAGCACAGCTGGGTGGGGTGGGAAGGAGGCCTCCGTCCACTGGGAGACTGGTCTCTGTTACATCCACTCAGGGACAGGCAGGACTGCCTGTAGGGATACCCCTAATAAACTGAACCTTTTAACCCACTCTGCCCCTGTGCCTGGTTTTTCCCTCCTTTTAGTGGCCCTGGAGAAGGTGCTGGTAGACCGAAGGGAACATGATCTTAGCAGCCGCGTGTTCTTGTTCCTGCTAGGCCCTTCTAGACCGTTTGTGCTAAAGCGAACTGAACTGGGTTCCTCACAGAAAGCCAGTCCCTTCCCTACCTCCTCCCAACTCTTGCCAACCAAAAGGCAGAGATCTTGAAGGAAGAAAAGAAAGGACGAGCCCTGGCCAGGTAGCGCAGTTGGTTAGAGGACGGTCCTGATGCACCAAGGCTGTGGGTTAGATCTCGTCAGGGCACATGCAAGAATTAACCAATAAATGTGTAAGTGAGTGGAGCAACAAATCGATGTTTCTCTCTCTCAAATTAATTTAAAAAAGAAAGAAACTAAAAGCAAGGAAGAGAACTCACCAAGTTTGGGCAGCAATGGCTTTTGACTTCTCTGCTGAGCCTCAGGCAGAGGGCAGGGAGTGGGAAAGCCTCACTTTCCCAGCACTACAGAGCTATAAGAAGAAACCAGGGAGGCCGGCGGTACGGAAGAAAAGATGCAGTGGGGCTGGGGGAAAGTACTAGGGCCCCGCCCCCTTCTCCCGGCCAGCGTGTCTGTGTCAGTGTGTGTGTGTGTAGCAGGAGAGTGAGGTCCACCCAGGGGCAGAGGTTCAAGTTGGGAAACCCAGATTTACTCGTGGCCTTTCTCAGATGTGCCAAAGAAGTCCACAGATGCTCCCTGATAAACCCATTGTAGGGTTGGAAATATCGTCGGGTAAAGAATGCATTTAACACACCTGAACACCAAAACTTAGCCCAGTCTACTTGAAACTCACATTACCCTACAGCTGGGAGAAAGCATCTCACACGAATACACTTTTAGTATCTGTAGTTTACCCTGGTCTCTGGGGCTCGCTGCTGCCACTGCCTAGCACCATGCGAGTATCCTGCTGCACATCGCTGGCCTGAGAAAAGAGCAACGTTCAAAATTTGACGTACAGTTTCTACTGAATATGTGTAGCTTTCATACCATTATGAAGTCAAAAAAAAGTTGAACCACTGTTAAGTTGGGGGCCATCTGTAGTAGGCAGAGTGGATGGGGGTGGCTGTGTGGGAGTCGAAATAATAAAGTAACAGCAGCTAACATTTACTGAGGCCTTATAAAGTTCCAGGCACTTGGCCAAGCACTTCACACATTCTACTTGTCCTCACAGATGCCCTGATGAGGTAGGTATCACCATCTCTATTTGACAGATAAACTGGCTTAGATAACGAGTGCTCTCCAGGTCACAGGGCTGGGAAGTGGAACAGGAAAGTGACACCAGGCCATCTGATGCGGAAGCTGCCTGCTCTCCTGAGTCACTGCCTCTGAGGGAGTTGGGGACCCTTCGGAGCCCCACACACTGCTCTGAAAACCACCCCTCAAGAGCCGGAGAGGGAGAGAGAGGCTTTGCCAAGTGCTCTGTAGAAACACTGTTTATTCAAATGACAGGCAGGAAGCGGCGTGGCAGCAGGTGGGTGAAGGTAGCCGGGTGGGCAGGTTAGCACTGCAACCCTATGTCCCCTGTAATCCTGCTTTGATAGCCACTCAAGTTGTTGGCGTCAGGGTCAGAAACACTTCCCCTCCTCTCCCTCCTGCCCCAAACTGAATAAATAGCATCTGTCTCTCCACAAGAGCTGGGGGAGACTCATGTGCTGAGCTTGCTGCCCCGTCACAGCCCAGAGTCAGGTGAGGGCAGAAGCTCAAAATGGCTTGTAGGGGAGTAGAATATAAAACTGTTCCACTCTCTCTCATCCTCTTCTTCTTCCTCCCTGCCATACTCCCTTCCCAGCCTGGTCCCAGGAGAGGTGGTCGGTGAGGGCCTGGAGTGGGAGAACTGTCGCCTAGCGTAGACTGAGCTCAAGTTTGCAAGGCCATCCAGCCTGCCGCCCATCCAGGCTGACCACCAAGGAGAACGTCAGTTCACTCCACTTTATGGACAGAAAAGGAGGGGCAGGGAATGAGGCAGGCCTCTCCCAGCCTCATAGGTAACCAGAGTCCTAGGAGCAGGCCCCCTACCGATCCATCTCATCCAAGAGTGGGGTGGCATCGCCGGCAATGGACATGGGGGTGCTTTCGATCATAGGGCTGGGGGATGGCCGAGGTGTCAGCCGCTGCTTCTGTTTCCGCCGCTCTGCCTCCTTCTCCTGCAGCCACTGCTCTGCCATCTTCCCCCAGTCGATGGCTGCATGGCTGTTGGACCTGGGAGGGAGAAGGGGCTTTTCAGACGAGAACTCTCCTGAGGCTCACTAGAAGGAAGCCTTCCTACCAATCTCTGGTGAACATCCACCCTTGCAGAAATGGGCCTTGTACCTACAGGCAGCAGCCGTGGCCAACTGCCACTCCGCCCTCCTCTGTCATCGTGCAGAAAGCAGCCCTCACTGGAACATTACTTCGGTCATGGCTCTCAGAAGATCCCCTCAGTCTCCTGATGTACTCTGCCCTCACTAAGACCCTGCTCTATGCCACCATGCATATACTTACTTTGGCTGCTGCTGCCGTTGCCGAGAGCTGGAGGAGGGCTGGGGCTGGGCCTGGGTAGACTGTGGGGTGGTGCTGGCCTGGAGCTGGTGGTATTGTGGTGTGGTGATGGGCTGGCTAGGGGTCGTGTAGGAGTAGCTGGGGGTCATTAGTGGTGTGGCCACTGGCTGCTGGGCTGGCGTTGGGAACACCTGGAGAAGGGTAAACAGTTAAATGAGGCTGGGTTCGTGGCATATTTATCCTTTCCATGAGTTTCTGGAAAGCTGGAAATCTGGGCTCAGCACAGAGCTTTCCAGCCGACCCTCTCCTGAGCACCAGAGGCAGGTCAATGAGATGGGACCAGGCACGACAATAGGGCCTCCCAGTCCTGACCCCTTGAGGTTTCTAGTGGCTTGCAGGTTCCAAAGACCCCAAAGTACTTTGTAGAAAAGCCAGGCCTTCTCTTACCCCTTTTCCCCTCATATGGGCCTGAGGAGAAGGCACATCTGTTGGAAACAGTTCCTAAGGCCCATCTGTGCATATAAAGGTAGGCACTGGCAGCGGCCAGTCTACGGACATCTAAAGGATGACCGTTCCCTGTCACTCTTCTCTGCCCTCTGCAAAGAGCTTCCTCCCCGAGCCACGTACGTGGTAAGCGCTGCTGCCTCCTCCACTGCCCCCATAGCCATACTGGCTGGAGGCCCACTGGGCTGGGGTGGCATTAGGGTTCTGTCCTTGGCTTGTCACAGCAGCAATGGCACTGAACATTTGCGAGGTCATGTTCTGGGGAAGTGCATTCACGGCCCGTGTCAGATCTGTAAGCACAAAGAGGTGGAAGGTGGGCACATCAGAGGTCAAAGTCCTCCCAGCTTTATTCCTCTGAGCCACAGTCCTAGGCATGAGCTCCTTACCTGCAAGGTTGATGTTAGCTGGGGTAGCATTGATAGAAGCAGGTGTCCGGGTCCTGCTGCTGCTACTTGGGGTGATTCCTACAGGAAATAACCAGAGTCAGTAATGTTTCTGGTTGCATAATTTAGAGGACTGAAGGAGGCAATGAGAAAAAATGAAGATAAATAGGCAAAGTGGATGGAGGACTTTCTAATGCTAGGAAGCTGGAGTAGGTATAAGAGAACTAAAATGACAGCCTGTGTTTCACCCCCACACAGAAGGCTATTAGTGATTACCTTGGTTCAGAGGCTAGGTGTCCCTCCAACCACACCCCAGAAGTCAGAGAGTACAACTCACCTGGTACAGGATCCTGGTAATGGTCCTTAAACCATCTGAAAAGCCCATTCACAGTTGGGAAGATTTGGCCCCGGTACCGGAATCCTTCTGGAGTCACCGTTACGTACTCTATCCTGGGATTTTGGAAGGAAACATGCATCAGATACCACTTGGGACCAGCTGTGAGAGAGCGGCCAGAACAGATCTCCACCATGTGAAGTAGTCACACTGGGTGCTAGGGGAAAGAAGATATGGAAGAGCCAGTGCCTGACCCTGAAAAAGGAGGCTGCACTCTGGGGAGGTGAGGTGTACACAGCAGAGTATGTCAAGGCCAGGAGTCAGTAGCCCCTGGCGTGCTCTGCACAGGCCACCGGAAGAATTGCTGGGGGCTGGGCCACCATCCTGGGCTGCAGGTGAGGGTGAAACTTAGGTCACAGGGAGTCAGAGTTGGAAGGGGTCTTCCAGGGCAGCAAAATACAACTCCCCATGAACAGGAATCTGGAAGCGCTTCTGGAAGGTGGTTAGTCTGCCCTAATTCAACACTTCACAGAGCAGAGTGTGGATAAGAGGATGGGTGCTGGGTTCACACACTCAGTTCTAGTTCTAGTTTTGGCTCTGCCACTCATCACCTAGATGGCTGTCCGAAGGTACTAAAACACGAATCTCAGCTTCATTTGTAAAATGAGGATAACAGCTCTTAACCTACAAATGAGATGGTGCGTGTAAAAAGCACTTATTGCATAACATCTAACATAGAGCTGTGCTCGATAAAGAACAGCTGTCAACACATGGTGCTAAGTGTGGCAAAGCTCTCGTTTGTATTAAGCTAAAACCTGCTTCATGATCTTCTACTCAAGTGTACCTTCTGCAACACAAGAGTCTGTGCCCCTTTCCACAAGAAGCTATCATGTTACCTCTGCTCCTGGTTAAAGGTCTCGCTTGCTCAACTGTTCCCTGTGGGACAGTTGCCAACCCCCACAGAGCCCTGGCTGCAAACCTCTGGAAGCCTGACGGTGAGTCAGAAAAGGCTTCAGAAATGAACACAACATTCCAGATGTGCCCAAGCTATGCAGGGACCAGAGTCTAGAGCCTCTTGTCATTTGGCTACTAAGTCCCTTACTAATACTGGCTATGCTGTGCCTCACGTACAGGCAGTAAAGAGATCAGAGCAGATATGCATAGACCTTGGCTAAGGGCCAAAGGGAGGGTGGGGGCACAGAGAAGGCTGGTATGGTTATTGGTCTGGGTAACAAACACAGAGAAAATG